TGGCAATTTTCTCGTTGATATGGTACTACTTCCCAATATATGGAGGCTATACCATCCATTCTGTGCACAGAATCCCTGTAACTACAGGGGAGCGCCCTGTGCACAATTCCCTGTAACTACAGGGATCCACTCCTGTGCACTTTTCAGGGATTAGGTCCTGTGCAAATTTTGCACAGCGGCTTGTACCTGTCACGTCTGGCATCCCTGCCAAGTATCCCCCCGTATGCTCCGGTGCCCCCTTGCTCATCATTACCTGACTTTGCGCCTCTTTCCTTCTATCAGAATCTATCTACTATTTTTGTCTTCAATCGCAGTATCTAGAATCAGGTTGATCGGATCTTTGAGACTGATGGGCATGTGGTCGTCATCCACTTCTGATCTTAAAGCCCAATTCTGTACCTCGTTCCATACATCTCCTGCCGCTAGATCCCTTGTCTTTAGACTCGTCCCTCCCGTGGAGAAGATATTCGAACTCCCGCATGAGGCTCCTAGCATCAGCACCGATTTTGAGGAATGGATCAGGTGGAGGAAGGGGTACTAGTAGTGGCACTGCGACAGGCCTATTATCCATTCCATTTAGCGCTCTTGGAATACGTACAGCGACTCACACTGAGACGATCTCACAATGGTTAGAATTCGCTATTCTTTTGCGCTGTGCAACCATCTGTACTACAGAACCCGAAGGCGTATGCGTAGAGGCTATGACAGTCCTGGACGTTGACTGGTTCACGGTGCTTCTAATAATCATGAGCAAGGGGTACACAGACTCTGGATAATCAATTGAAATTACGCTTGAGCTTGTGCCCGATATGCAGCCTTGCACTTAAGGGATATCTCCGGCATATGTCTGACACGAAACAAATTTGTTCAGAAAAGTCCGAAAAGCAGTAATGTCAAGCACTTACTTTGCTGTTTACTCTTATTACAGATGGCCTGTCATTTATCTTCAAGCAAATGATAATTTTTGCACGGAGCCATGAGGGTATGGGAGCAAGCATACAAGACTTGCACTTTTGGGCAATTAAGTTGATCCCGTACCAATTTGGTATTTTCGTCTGATTCGTCTCACCCTATCGTTTCTCTCACTCTCTCTGTGCTCTGTTCATCTCTAGACCTCACAAAATCTTTCTGAATGGAAAGTGTGACATCTATTTAACAAATGCCCGAAATAAAACTCCAGACAAACTAATTGGTTTGTACCACCGACTAGATTTTCCACCGAACGGCTGTCTTTGTGTCTCATTGCGACTCGTCAGCTTACACTCTTGGGAAGAATCAACTACATGAATTCAGCGTCATTATATTAAAAGCACGAATCTTTCAGTTACTACCTGGCAATGCGCATTGTGCATGCCACAAGAAAGCTCCCAATATTCAATACTATAAAGCGGAAAAATTGAGAACACAAGATTCGAACCAACGATGAACACCAATTCGACAAGTACATGGCTTACGCGCTTGACAATAGTAGTCTTAGACTGCGTGCAGATATTAATAATAAGGTGTTAATTCATACATCTCATCTGTAGGGAAGGATGCTCTACTGCTGCATCTACATGTACACTCCAGCACATTGAGTTGTGAACCAGGCTGTGTACTCTACCATCTTCGACTGTTCAGACCGTTACATCGTTGAAGGGTTCGGGGAAATAGGTTTGCATTGAATAACAGTTTTTAGGGACACGGCAGAAAACATAAGTTATGCCAACACTGCCGAAACGTGCAATCCCGATTCCCGATGGCCGTTCGTCCAACCTGCCATTGACTCGGAGTTCGATCGCGAATGGATCTTCTTACAACAATCTTGATAGAGCAGATCTCGCGTTTTCGACGGCTCTATCATAAACTAGGCAGGCCTTGGGAGACCTAGACTTCCCCATCGAGTATGGCGTTAAAGGGCATTGAGCTGGGCATCGAGGGCAACGAGGAGCTCGACCCAATCACAAACAGTCACAAGGTGGTCACAGTCTACTGGATAGTACTGCTGGACAGGTATGGTCCCAGTGCACAGGACCATTTGCTGAAGAGTACACATGAATTGATCCCCTGTAGTAACAGGGAATTGTGTACAATTGGTTCCCCTGTAACTACAGGGAATTATGTACAGGACGGACGGCATAGGTTGATATATGGTGGGGTTTACTGGTTCACGGGTCCTGTTTCTACACTGGATCCCATGAGGCCGGCATCAGAGGACCTCAGCGAAAAGGAACCAGCCAACATGATTGCAGAGCTAGTTGTAGAATAGTTGATACTGGATTGAGATACTGTTTGATTTCGCCCTCGTTATCTTGTTTAACTTGGGACATTATGAAATCAAGTATTAGTTCCGACCATTGCGCTATACCAATTGCGATTTTGTCTCAGATTGGAGATAATACATATAGTGGGCTTATGGATCAGTTTTCGTGAGACGTGAGTAGGCATACCATAGCAAGGTACTGTACAATTTCGACCTTACCTTCACGGTTTGTGACATGTTATGCCACATCTTCAGCCGGACAGATCTTCGCAGATGGCTGTGACAGGGTATGGTCATCTTCATGTTGTAGGTTCTTCATCACTGTTGTCTTGTGGTTATACGCTGCAACTGAGCAACTAGGTTGTGAGTTCAATCCTTCTTAAATGTACTTTTTCACTCCCAGTGGTGACATCGTGGATCGCTGGATTCACCAGACGGGCCGAATGTTGGCAAGAGAACAGGTCACGGTAGCGCTGCGCACGGAACCTCCAGGGGGGGTAAGATACGGTTTTATACCAACCCCTCCCCAAGGGGGGTGTTTTGATGACCAAGACAAAGTAGGTACGTATTTTCACAAATACTTCGTCTTGAGCCCTTAGGCCTTAAATCTGGACACATTTCGGGCTGGATAGAGAAAAACGGCAAAAAGAAGTATGGTGGTGGTACCGGCGAAAGAGGAAGTTGATCGGATCCTTGGAAGCGGCACTTTGCTTTCGCAACTGGTGAATATCACAGCGGCACGGTGCTGCTATGGTCTGTGACACGTTTCGTGGCGGCACAGAACCCCGGTGTTCTTTATTGGGACCGCATACCGGTTTTCTAAACTCTAAACTCTTACCGCTTACTACTTGCATCCGAATTCCCGTTGGCCCCCATCCTCCAAACGTTTGTCGTATCATTCGCTCAGTGTCACAGTGATATCTAAATGCGCATTCAATAGTCCTCATTGGAATTAATCCGTGTGTTGACGCGTTTCCTTAGGCTTCATCCGTGCTCAACATGACTTCGACAGCTCCCTGAACCCTGCACGACGCGCCACTCACTAACGAGATTCACCCACATGCCAGTTAATTAACGAGGGACTTCGGACCGACTCACCGTACACGTCGAGATCATGATGTTGAGCAGCAGCCCTGAAGATGAACAGGAGCATAACGTCCTCAGGCACGTTCTCTATTTTCCTGGCGTTTTCAGAATTCGAAATGGATGAACATTTCACAGGAAGATGATGCTTACTCGAATTCCGTTCAAGCTTCCCAGGACGGGGTCCATGGCGGTAGTTTTATTCCTCCGACTTTTAATAGAAGCGAGGTCGTGAGTTCTCCCATTCGATATCCCATTCATCTGTAGCTCAGGGAAGCCCATAGAATGTATATCTACTATTCTGCATCAAAATATCTCTTCCGTAACCGTTGAGATGGTCGCTATGCCGGACGAATCAATGTAAGAAAGTTTCGGCTGTCTAGTAAGTTTAACAAAATTCTACATTTCATCTGCTTTATGTTTACGCAGGCGGCGTAGTCAGGGCCATATCAGTAATACCTCCGATATTCGTGCACCTCATCGCAACCATTTGAATCCTGGAACTCTGGCAAGTCCTCCTTGCCCTCCTCCTCCCTAAACAAACCTCGCCGGTTTTCAGCAATAAAATGCAAGATAATAGGACTAGCTGGTGTGAGGGAGGGACCCCCACATTTTGTCTATGTCAGGGTTGATTTTCGCACGCAATATCGGCAGAAGTAAGCCTGCTATTCAACGGGGATCTCATCCCAGCTCTTCTGAATATTTCACCAAATTTCCGAATTTCAGAGTACTGGAAATTTTAGGGACGATCGAACCGTGTTCGCTTCGGAATATTCACATCATGTTTCATATTTCCGTGGGGTCGAGACCCATCGCAAGTGGGTATTTAAACGAGAGCATACCATCGACATTTCTTCATTCCCTTCATTCCCATTCCTCCCTCTCCTCCCACCTCTCTTAGCTCTCGGGCTCTTATACAGCCTCCATCACCTCCATATTGTCATCGAGCGTCTCTTTGGAGAGGCTATCCCTTCGTTAAACGCGTCCCCGACGCTGTCGATGGCTAAGATCCCGTGATCGCCGTCATTGCATTTTCGGACTTGGCCGTGAGTTCATCTTCTGACTTTATCCCTTGACGACGACCACGACGTCGAGCTCACTGGCAACGATGGTGAGCTTGTACTTTCCCTCTTGTATCTCCCATGTTCCTCGTGTTCTTTAAGTTCACTTTTGTGCTCACTTCCTCGACCAGTTCACAGCCGGATCAGTGTGAATTCCCCTATTTAGGTTCACTTAAGGTTTCTGGATCTTCAGCCAAATCGTCAGTGTCTCGTCACCAGACATATAGCAGCTCGAACGAGGCACTTTCGCTTATGGCTTTGGCGGGAAGAAAGGTGTAAAATATGATTTTATTTGTAGTTAACAAAACACTTTTTTAATAATCGAAGTATCCATGTACTAAAGGTAAGCACGGTTTTTCCGCCGTTAGTAGTTACTCAACGAATTTCTTCCAGGTCTAATATTGCGCATCCCCGCCGTCCTTTAGCAAGTCTGTCCAGCCTCAATATACGCAAGGTAAGTCAGGCGGCCCTCTATTCGTTTAGATGAGACGTCTCGCAGGATTAAGTCATGACGGAAATAGGGATTTACTCGAGGTGCGTTTCGTTCTGTTTTCTTTGATCTCGCTAAGATGGTAGCTGTTTTGCCGCCGTGCTAGGATTTACTACTTGCAAGCATGGAGCACGATTGTGAAAATAGCGCATGCTACCAGGTATCGCCTCAATACTGCATGGTAGATGGCATCGCCGATGTGAGCGTTCGTGAGAGGCCGAATAGAGGCTTTCACCAAGGGCATTCGCAGACGGAAAAGGTGCTCGTAAAGTCACGGTAAGCATCTCGTCTTCGATTTCTCATCCCGTTTTGTTGACTCACGTCGTTTACAGGCTTAGACTGTGTATCTCCCGCTTACTAGGTACGTGTCGTCACCTACGGTTTTGATTATAATACTAAACGCCCGCCTCAGCTGCCGAAACAATACACACTTTCTTTCAAAGGTATGTTTATCCTCTTTTCTCATCATCCCACTCATCCCTTTCCTCCCCGTCCTCCCCGTCCTCCCCCTTTTCTACTGCCTCGCCTCTCTTCAAGCACGTCTTCGATGGGATCCTCGCTGTTGTACACCCCTCTCTCTACAGTCGATACGATGGTACGCCTTTTGTTAAACTTTGTTCGTTGATTTACGATGACACGGTGAGTTCGTTTCCTCGTGGTCTGGATTTGTTCTGACGATGTGCAGACAAGCTCAAAGTCAGGGCCGAACATGAAGCAAACTGGTTGTTCTTTAATTGATCCAAGGTAAAGTTTTGTAGTTAATCTCTAATTTCTTTGTTGATACCTTTCCTGGATGGCTAGGTCTGTGGTAAAGCTATCCCATTCTCCTGCTGTTTTGTACTAAACTGCGCTTTCTTCAGCCCTCCAGCGACCATTTTATTGCAGTGGCAATACACTAGGTACGCAGGCTACGCCGTATTCTCTTTTTCCTCACTGATACTGCCCTTCACTCTATATAGGATCCGCAAACACCGGAAAGGATACCGACGACAGTACCCTTCGGAAACTTGATTCATGCTTTACGGTACGTCGCCCTCGTTTCATCGTGGTTCACTAACTGACGCGCTGTTTGGTGTAGCGGGACGTAGCGTTCATTCACGAGGGTTCGCCATCGACCGCAATGGTGAGCTGGTTCATTCCATTTCTCCATGTTTCTAACATGGTCTCGACAGATAGCTATTATCTCGGAGCAGCGAGATGTACGTACCCAAGTAAAGGCCACCTAGTGAAGGAGGAAGGCTGTTGTCGGTTTCCCCTCCCGTTTCACTCCATCCCGTAGATCTATGGTAAGTTTTCATTTCTGCTGGTTGGCACAGTCCGTGCTAACCATGATCTGGGGTAGCAGAACCTTGACTTCAGTTTCAGGTACGTATATTGGGGTACGCTTGCCGTTCTCGAAGCTGACGACCTTGGTTTAGTTGTATCAAGGTAGTGTTCTTGACGACCACCTCGGGAACGAGAGTGTGCGGGTGGTAGGTTGATCTTACGTCCTCTAGACACCATGCCCGTTATCGTTGTGCTAGATGACTTGAGGCGATAAAGCCCGAACAGATCACTGATCCATGGAATTTCTTTCGAGAGCTAGAGGCTTTGAAGAGGTATGAGTGTCGTGTTATGTTACGAGAGTTTCATTGACCATTCTGATTCGTAGGATCGAGGAAGACTATAAAGCGCGAGTGAAAGCAAAAACACAAGCTGGATTGACCGTGCACGTCAAAGAGACGAAGAGCTCAGCAAAAATGCCTAAGCATGTTTCTCCGCCCGCGGGGGCGGCAAAACTACCTGTTGCATCCGATTCGATAGGTGCGAAAATACCGCTGTAACGGACTTCGCTGGAACCGATGGTGTCATAGACTAAAGGGTTATAGTGATGCTTGACTGGGGAAACGGTGGACTAATCTCATATGTCGTCAGTATATTGAGCTATGCATCCTACTTGGTCTCTTTGTTTTATTGAAATAATCACCTATAAGTCAGCTTCTTGGGTTGCACGGGTTTTACTGTAAGTGGAACGTTCGATGGTCGGAGACGAATCTAGCAAGCTGCGGGAGTCACCTGTCTTGGATCGGAATTTTGGACCATGCGGACATGGAATGGTTCTTGGTCTCCATCGCAGCTTCAGCAAATCCTTCAGGGTGGCAGTGGATCACAATTCAAACGAATCCGGGTATTGGCCGATTCAACTATCTCATCTCATCATTAAACGGTACGGAATAATCTGCTGTTGACCTTCATCCAATCTTAGGCTACCGAGTTACTACCGGGGCGAGACTGCAACTCACAAGTCGTGGGCCGTCTTCTTGATCTTCTTAGATCAACGATACTCAACTCTCGCTACCTTTGAGATGGGAGACTGCCGATTGGATCCCTTCTCGGTACTATCGGGCGCATTATTAACACTATATATATGATGACTGCTGTTCTGCCGTACGTTCTTATCCCTTACCACCTTCCCCGATGATGTCGGCAAGCGATGTAAAACTCTCGACAGAAGCGAAGAGTAATCCTCGTCTCATGGAGCTCTCTGTCAATCAAGTAGATACTGGTGCGGCTCTCGTGGTAGGTAAAACTGGGCAATTGAGCCGTTCGGAGGCGACAAGAATCAGGTATATCATGTCCACTCACTCTCCAGCGGTGTCTAACATTAGAACAACAGGAGGAAAATCGACCGTCATATCGTTCCACTAATGTGTTGTGAGTCTCATCGTTACTGGTCAGGCAATGACTATAATGGCGATATCCTAACTAGTGCTGTATGCGTGAGTGGTAGTAATGGCTATAGCAGAGTGGCGGTCATATTCACCACCGTCTCTCGTTGCCTAGAATCCAGTACATGGATAAAGCCACGCTGGGGAACGCCGCCGTCCTAGGTCTCCTGTAAGCCCGCTATCTGTATCGGTTACATTCTAAATATATCTGACCTCGCGTATAGTGAAGATACACATCTAAACGCTGACCAGTGAGTCTTGCATACCTTCAGTGCTTTCTTACTCAACTCTTTCACGAAGATATAACTGGTTTGGCATTCAATTCTATGATTCGTTTCTTCCGCTTAGTGAGAGCCTCAGGCTTAGTACCATCTTTTATCTCGGCTATCTCGTCTTCGAGTTCCCGCAGAATCTGTGTCTGCAACGCCTCCCTGTTGGGAAATGGCTGAGGTATGTTGTTCTCCGAATTAGTTGTCCTTGAACTTTAAATCATTCCACGTAGTTTCAATATTTTGGTCTGGGCCATAGCATTATGTACGCATGCAGCGTGCAAGAATTTCGCCGGTCTCTTTGTCGTCCGAATGATCCTGGGTATGTCCGAGGGTTGTATCACCACAGGATTCATGATTGTCACGTCCATGTTCTACACACGAACGGAGCAGACTTTGAGAGTCGGGTACTGGTGTAAGGGTATAAATTGATCATCTCGCACATTTGCCGCTGACTCCTTGGGTAGTCTTGATGGACGGCACTGGTAAGTATTCGTTCTTTCCTACACACTTAAGTTAACCAATCGGTGTTAGCACAAGTAATCTCCGGATTCATTAGCTTCGGTACCTTGCATATGAAAACCAATACATTGACAGCCTGGCAATGGTGCGAAGCCTTTTCGTATTGATCTCTTTTTATGATCCAATAATTGCTCCCTAGGCTTATGATAATTTTGGGCATGCTGACCATGGTAACTGCGATCGCTTTCTGGTACTCTGCTTTTTCTTTGCGCTTTACAGGGTAGCTGATGTTGATCCAGGTTCCTGTTTCCAGATTCCCCTACGAACGCTTGGTTCCTCACCCCGGAAGAACGCTCCTCTGCGGTTCAGCGATTAAAGGTCATTCGATATTGCTGCCCTCACACGGTTATAATAACCCTCTTCACAATAGGAAAATCAAACAGGTGTCGAGAACAAACACTTTAAAAAAGAACAGTACGGAATCCTGGTTTTTTACCCTTGTCCTACTTCTACTCAAGCGCCGAACCCCAGGATGGTAGAAGCCCTAACTGACATCAAAACATGGCTGTTCGCTCTCTTCTCCGTGTTAGCCAACATCCCGAATTCACTCGCTAATCAGCGACAATTAATTATCTTGTCGTTCGGTTTCTCCAATCTCAACACCACTCTCCTGGGTTGCGTTCCCGGTGTTGTAGCAGTCCTGGCGGTTTGGAGTGGCACGACCATAGCAGCACGGGTACCAAACAGCCAAGCGTGGGTTGGTGTGGCGTACCTGATTCCCAATCTTGTTGCCGTCTTCTTGATGCTCTTTCTGAGCTGGGACGACAAGGTTGGTTTATTAGTGACATTGTTCTTCGCTGGTGAGATACTTCCGCCTTTTCGGCTTTATTGTACCGCTTATCATCGGTGTAGGCCTCGGGGTCACCGCTTTCGGTATGCCTAGATTCTCTACTCGCCGCCAGTCTTGACACCATTGCAGTTCTTTCCCTTTCTTGGTTGTCGAGCACTACGGCCGGACATACGAAGAGAATAACTGTCAATACGATTATGCTGTCCGCATATTGCATCGGTAACGCGGTAGGTCCTCTAATGTGGAGAGAGAAGTACAAGCCTCGGTGCGGGTTCCTCCAAGCTTTTGTTCTTTGTGCTAATGAACGCGTCGAACCAGCAATCGCGTACCTTGGATAATCATCGGAGTTTGCGTCGTTTTTCGGATTATGACCCTGCTTGCAATTCGGTATCTGCTATCGGCTGAAAATCGACGCAGGGATGCTGAGCCCGTTGACACTGTCTATGACGACGTGTACATCGAGCAGTTGAAAGAGGATGGTGTTATGGAGAAGGCTCACGTCGATAAGGTCTGTCTGATTCTTTTCTGTGCAGTGTGTACATGTCGTGGGCTTTCTGACAGCCCTACAGGAGTTTTTGGATTTGACAGACAAGCAGAATCGAGATTTTAGATATGTTCTCTGACGGTTAACATTCCAGCACTGTTTATGTGTCAGATGACTCTGAATTTATGGCTTGTGACGGAGGTTAGCGGAATGAAAAGAATAATTTACAGACAGTAGGCGGATGTAAAGAGCTAGTTCGCTTCTGGAATTGTGAAAATCCTGCATGCCTTTCATCGTTCGAGGGGCAAGGCAATAAAACAAAGGCCGGAATAAAACGAGCTTGGAAGCTATGGTATAGGGACCAGCAGCAAGGTGGGCTCGCCAATAATAGCCCGATCAACATTTTCTCTCCTCACGGTCCTCTGAGTTCATTGTAGGCTTGATGGTACATCACCATCGGGAGCATTTGCCAAATGAGAGCGAGACAGTCTAGCTTTGAAAGACCTAAGTCCTTTCCTCCTTAGGCCAAAAAGACTTCCGACGGGACATTCTACGTCCCTTTCATTGCACCTGCAGTTTCGTGAGCTCAAGAACGATTAAGACCACGTGTACATACCCGCTGCAGTAGATCCAGCTTCAGGTACAGAACTTGGAGTTCGAGCCTTTGACGTGACTTAATCGTAAAGAGCATCATCTAATTCCCGTATTCGTTCTATAGCCCTTTTGGTTCGTTCATGATCTTTCTCAATCCTTCAAGTTCTCAGAAATCGGTCAATGCATACCGACGACGAAGCAATCATAGGTACCTTTTTAATGCTTCAAGTTTATCATAAAACATCAATGGATCACCAATCTCTTCGGCCGGGAGAGACCGCAAGTCGTTTGAGAATACCAATAAATTGGTAGTGAAGGGAGGCTGCACGACCACGTGCCAACTTAAGGGCAGGTCGAGTGGCGTTTCCTTGGCATTTTTAAGTTCGTAAGCTTGAGAACTTGACATCAAGCACCTTTACCTGGCAAGGGGTACGCAATCTTGCAGAACTTGCAAACTTGGAGTGTGCCTCGTCATGAAATTCGCCAGCTTTGTCTTCCCAATCCCCAGGAGAGGACTTCGGGTGTTCCTGGGCTACCGCTGAGCCTTTGTCTCTTGCTTTGTTCGCTCTCAACTACTTGAGAACAAAGGAAGGGCACCCATATAAGCGGTCAAATGTGGGCTTCAATACTTGATCTTTCTTTCTCATGCCATCATCATGCTTCCTCAGTTCGGAGAATACTTTACCTTCACACTGGATCCGGTGGCCTCCCTGAAATCACTGAATGACGACGAGGTAAACGAAGCATGCAAAGCTTTGGGCACTGGCAAAACATATGTTGCCTCGGTCATCAATGTATGTCTCCACAGCTGCGATATTTTCGTGTTTACTAAATTTTTATTCACTCCTTAGCTCCTCTCCTTCCCCGTTCCCGGTGCTGAATATGTGTCTGTGGCTCTGACGCTGGTGTCAAAGGGTCTTCCAGAAGCTTTGCCAGATTCCTTTATAACGCCTGATATGTCGGTAGCCATTCTACCAAACACGTCTAACCCGCTGTCTCGACCCCCGCTGGAGCCTTCTGTCCCTCTGCCTTGGTCTGACTGCTACCATCCCACACAGTCCATGATGACGTGCCGAGTCAAAAACAACATCACCCTTGGGCAACCGTGGCCCACTCCTAAATACTGCATCGACGGTCACGCACAGAACCTCCTTGGTGGGACATACTTCTACGAGGATGCTGAGCGGAGGGAGGTCTTGAGGAAAGCTCGAGAGCAACCATCCACCAGCAGCCAGTCAGAAGAACATGAAGCATCTTCAGTTATCTCACCTCTTCCCGAGTCTGAACCGGACGCCCACAGCGACTACGAACCTTCGCTTAAGGACCCTGAAGACGAAGACGATACGCCAACCTTTGACGTGCAAAGCCAGTGTTCCGATTCACCCAGCATGGCGAGCGAGGTTTCCGAACCGCAGGAGCCTGGTCACAAGCGACGTTTTTCTTTCAAGTCATTCTTCCGTAGACTATTTCGCAAAATTTTGCCTTGTGTTCCATGCTTGCGGGGAAGTTCCTGCGATGACGACAGCTCCTCAATGTCACCATCCTTCGACCCATATGCAGTCATTGCCAGGCTATTCGGTCCTCCACTCGAGGATACGATGCCGGTGATAGTCGTGTCAAAAGACTTGAAGTCAGTACAGGAGATCAACAATCCTTGGGACTTTTTTCGTGAATTGGCCCCCCTCAAAAGGTTTGTGACTCCATTCACGATCATGCATGCGCTTATCGTCTGCTTGAACTAGAATTGAGGAGCAATATCATGAGCGCGTCAAAGTGAAAACTCAAGCTGCTATTGAACGTGCGTGCCAAAAGAATGAGCAACTAAATCAACTTCAAGAAAGAATGCTTCAACACAAGTCTCCACCTGAAGAGACGGTAGAGACCTCTGTTTCTCCTGCTACAACAGGCGCGTACTTCAAATATTAGCTCATTGTTTTTACTTTTTAGCAACCTCAAAATCAAGACTCAGTGACCACTGACAAGTGCATAAGAATGTTTAATGTTGTTGATGATTAAAAATATCGTGGAATCGGTCGAGGGTTCAGACTCGACACTCGGATCCTGAATTTTGAAAGTTAGTTCGGACTCGTCGCTCGGGCCTCGTTATTAAATAAACAAGCCGATCATAAAAAATACTGTTCTGCCTTGTGCGGATGTGCACTTACTCCGATAAAACTCTCAACTGGTACGCTTCGTACTGATAACTTAGGTCTTCAGACCTGTATATTTATGGTACCTCTCCTTTCTGCCACCGTTGTCCAACCCGCAGGAATGGTCAGTCTGCGAAACACAGTTCTTTTAGACATCACATTTGCTTCAAAATCCATGCTTGTTAATTCACTTCTGTTTACGGACAGGTTGTAACATAGGATGAAGGGCGTCTTGTTCAAAGTACGGGTTCAAGGTATGGAGGATTAGAGAAACAACCACATCGAATTCACTCAGAGCCTTCTGCCCTGGATACAAGGTGATGGATAAAACCGTCACCGTCACCATCATCATTAACAGAACGCTTGAAGAAGTCATGCTGTAACAACTCCTTTGCACTCGGGCTCTCCTTAGGATCCAACGTAAAGCACTGTTCGATGATCCCCACCAAGTCTTTATCCACGCCGACCATGAGGGCCTGAGTAGACAGAATTTCGTGGCCGACGATCTCTGTCGCTATCACATTTTTCGTCATGTGTTGGACGGTCTGTACAAGCTCCTCCGGGAGCACAGATTTCCAGGATCCGGATTTCAGCTTCCCTAGGAACGCATAGCATATCAGTGCCACCTACGAGAGGAAGATGCTGCGAAGTAACGTACCGTCAGCACTGAAATACTCCTTACCCTTGGGTGACGCCTCAATCATCCACCGGGGAAACTGTTTGTCCTCTCCGCTGAAAAGCGTCATGGCAAAGAGATGGTCCTGGACATTATACTTTTCTGCCTCTTCCATGGTCTTTTTGTTTGTAAACGATTGGAATCTATCGAACGGTCCGCGGAATACGGGCCTATACGTTAGGGTCTCAAGCATCTGAACCGCATGTGAGTGATCTTGTATGAATATAAAAGTTATAGGACTTGCTATAATTCCCAGTGTCCAAATATCGATTTTCTCGTCCCAAGGAAGACCTAGAACGAGTTCTGGGGCTCGACGACGCAGGGATGTGGTGGGAACGGCTGCAAGCAAAGCGAGTGTGTATGTATGAATCAAGAAAGATCGAATTTGCTTACATGTAGGACTATCCTTATAGATGGGGTGGCCTGAGGAGGCGGTGAGATGCATAGAGAGAGAAAGAGGAGGACACCCGACACTCACAAGCCCCGAAATCACATAATTTGAAGCTCATAGAAGGATCCAATTGCGTCATTAAAGGCATTTGCATGGGTTGCTGAACCTTGTGGTACACGCTGGAGGTATCCTTGAAATCGCGGTTGTACAAGTTGTCACGAAACGTTGTCGATTCGCCGAACTCAATCGGTTCCTTGTCCAACAATTCCTTTAACTGGTCGTCATCCAATGCATTGTCTGCCAATATGTCGTCCCCCTTGATATCTACACGAGACTTAACGCGACTTTTCCGAGATAAAACGCGTACAGCGTACCTCCATGGACAAGGCCGCACCCGGAGTGAAGAAAATCGAGAGCGAGCAGCATGTCACGAAAAAGTTTCTGCCATACATTTACGGGCCATCGTTGTTTTGTTCCCTGGTCGCCTAGGAGATGCAACTGAGTGAGGCACGCCCCACAAAGGTCCATGACAGAGACGAGGCGACTGAACGGTTCCGCCAACACCACGCTCCAGCAATTGAGGGCAATGTGTCGCGATCCTGGATGACTGCCCGTTTTCCTCTTCATTATCTCGTGCCTTCTCAGTTCGTGCTGCCCGACATCAAGGGAGCCCTGTATTGAAAAGACCTTGACAGCGAAATACTGACTCCCGTTCTCGTTCCTTATTCCTGAAACAGTGAGCAGCGCAGATACGCTTGGGATAACAAGTATACGCACTTCCACTGGTCCGAACGCCCAAGCCAAACACTGGCGTGGTGCCCAATGCCCAACTTGTGGAGTATCTTGACACTCAAGTAGTCGTTATGGTCCACTCGAAACGTCGTCTCATCTTCTCGTGGAATCACCTGGCCGATGCGTACATTAAGGAAGTCGGGTCCATAAGGAATGGGTACACTGAGGAGCTCTTCGCCGTGGGCTGGTCGAGGGGTAACTTTGCGGTCGGCGCCTTCAGTTATAATACGAATCCCCTGGCCTTCGTTGCCTCTGAGACGGACGACTCGCGACATTTGCCGTGTATACCATCGCTGAGACGAAAGTCGCCAGCAAAGTTGGCGTGAGCAATGGAGCATGCAGCGAGAAAAATGTTATTGACGACGTTGTGTATCGGTATTGGTATTGGTACCGACACTAAGTCCCAATAAAGAACCACAAGGAACTTCGGCATTTACCGCAACGAACTTGGATCTAACATTTTGTTCACCCAGAAACAAAATACAGAACATATGCACCTGAACGTATTTGCCTCTCAAATTAATAATGATTCGCCTAATTTCTCTCGTCTATCCCTTCACTCGGCACCTCTGCACAGGAACCGCCGTGGCTGACTCGTGGCGGCGTCAGCCCGCCACATGAGGTAAAGTACATATGCTCATCGAGTGAAATGTTTTTAACCAGACCTCTCTAGATTATTTAAATAACGGGCCGCGTTTTGCAAAGGGCCGCCACTACCTGAGAACTAAATATCCGAGAAGCAGTACATGATGCGCATCAAGATACGGGAGCACAGCATACTCCCGTGGAACGAACGAGCTCCACCGGGGTAAGATAATACGTTGTTTATAGTGCTTTTTCCCACTAAGCCTCTTCTTCGATTCCCGTTGAGCTGCCGGTAGGTATATTTATCGTACTCGCCGAGCTGGACGGCTTTTTTGACTACTGGATTTCTAGATGAATCTGCAGCGTTAGTATATATGCGGCTTCAAGGAAGTTGTTAGGATCCGAGAACTGAGTCAATGTATTCGAGAAGCACGCACGCTCCACCGGGGTGCCAAAGGACGCCGCTACTGTCCAACACAATGCGTTTCGCGCTAGTGTCTTGTTCGATTCCTGTTGATCTCCGGCAAGTACGCATGCTCGTCGAGAGTGATGTATCTTTGACCAGACCTCTCTAGATGACTTTGCAACGTTTGAAAGTTGTCGCAACGCGTCGCGATCTAGAGAGTGAATAAGTGTACTCGAGAATTAATTCATTCCTCGAGCCGCCATCAGAGTACGGGATGCTAGCCGCTCGCACTTGCACCGGTGTATCAAAAAGCGCCGCTGCTGTTTCATACCAAACTTCTTATTCGAATCCCGTGAGCTACCATCTCATTTTTACAGGGGCATGACTGTTCAATTTGCCTTCCGTCGCATGCTCGATGCTCACGGCGTTTCACACTAATCAATGTGATAATAGGTCCTTGCGGTGCTCATTCATTCGCTGTGGTATAAAAGGACGCGCCTCTTCAGCAAAAGCTCCATCGTACTCTGTCCGATCTTTCCTTGCAGATATGTTCTCCAAGATCATTTCCCTCGCTGCTGTCGTCTTTGTCTCTTGTGTTACTCTTGCCCGTGCGGAGTCGCATACTGTTAGATTTGTTAACAGGTCAGTATGACGCCAAGTGACAGACAACTCTGAATGCTGACCGATCTTCTAGGTGCGGTCGTGGGACTGTATGTTATTGTCTTCTTGCGCTACTACGGACCATGGCCGATCCTTCTATTATAGCCCACACTCAGCCAAAACTTCAATACCTTGTCGACCGGTAGTGACTACACCGCAGGTGGGCCCTTTGTGGCTGCTGTTGCGTGAGTGGCCCCTTCGCGTTCCCGCTCGCGCAATACGTTATTCACATCAAAATGTTTTAGCTGGCTCGACACGGGTTGCGGTTTCCAGGGTTCAGGATGTACTCTCGTAGAGTTGACCTTGAAGAATCCTACCTCGCCGGGAGCTGGTTCCAGCGTAGACATTTCGCTCATCCCTCCGTGAGCAGCTACTGATCATGTCCGATCGCGACGATTGATCTATTCCATATAGGCATACGTTCAATGTCCCGGCGTCGTTTTCGTACTTCAATGGATGTGACGGCCAGGGAAAATCTTGTATGTTTATTAATTTGTCGTCTGAGGAGATCTAAACATGCTTGCAGGCTCCAATGCTAACTGTCCCCCCACGGACGCCTTCCACGTCACTACTGACTACGGTGCCCAAGTCCAGTGCGAAGCGAATAATGTGAGCGGGCCTAATTAACCGATCATTTTGTTAATCCTGATCCTTTTTCAGGTCGGATTGACGATTACTTTCTGCTGAATATAAAATTCAGTACCTCCCCAATAGTTATCGTCTATTTAGTGGTGATGCGAATTAATAGCGATTCCCCAAGGTATCTTAACCGATACCATAGCTTTACTCTTTAGAAAAATTTGGTTGATTGTTCAAACATTGATTGATCGACACTGTCATTAAGTGATAAATTGACGGTCTAGACCGCTAAGATACTCTGAGCTGCAAAAAAGAGCTGATGAAGGATGGAAACCAATCCCAAATTCCCCTGAGATGCCAATAGAGTCGCGACGCCGCCTTATAGACGGGTCAATGGGAGACGAGCGAGAGAACACGATATGTTCCGATTCAATCACGTTGATGATTCGCTGCCTGAGCGTTTTTACGCGCAGCGAGCTTGGGAACGCCAGACAACGCGGAGATGGCTGTATAGCGAGTTAACCGGAGCAGACAGTTTAGCGCCAAGCCTCCACATATCCTTAGCGCGTGAAACAGACTCGAACTAAAATAGGCGGAAGACAGGTGGGGCGTAAATCCCCGCAATGGTGAAGAGCGCTCGGACTGAAAAATACAAAACGGAGTTCCTCTAGGGATTACAAGATGACCGAAAAGGGCACGGCGGAAGGGCGAGTGGATGCTTCGTGTGTAATTCCCAGAGCAAAAACGATGTCGTTTATGATGAACTTCGGTATTGTGGAAGACGGAACTCCGATTTCTCCCGAGAAAGCAAGCGTCACCCGTAGTTGGAGTATGATTCCTTTCTATCAGACGAATAGAAAAACACATTGACAGCGACGTCTGGTGAGAGACGGAAAAAAAACCAGCCGTTCATCACCTGAATGTGGAAGAATACTTATGAAACAATATAAGCCGGGAAAAAAAGCCCACAGGACACACCTAAGCCCCACTGAGATCACAGTAATAGAGATCCTTGATCCATATGGTCCGAGACTTGAGAAAAAAAAGGGGAATACATGTAAAAACACAAAACGACGAATAAATAGCACGACTGATCAGAGAAGTCGACCGCTGAATAATATGAAATTGCCCCAGACAGCATTCATTGGGGTAGAGTTGGGGTAGACCGGCGAAGCTTTGTCTACCCCACACAGGGCAATGGACCCTCTGGCACCTCCGAGTGTGAATAGCCCCGAAAAACACCGGTCGTGTGCGCCCAAAGATACGTTGGGAGTGGTTCAATACAATGTTCGGTGTCTGTTGACACCTGTTACATCCGAAAGGTGAACAAATAACACCAAAGGTCTGGTTCAGTGTGCCTCTGCCCTAGGTTCGGAGCAAGCCCGCTCCGTGCCGTGCCGGCAACCTCGCATGAGGGGCTTGCCGCAAAGTGATCAGAAACCATAGGGTCATTCAATCTCACCTAGTTAATCAAACTCGCGCCTTCCGGCCTTGATATATAGATACAATATGTATATAATAGTGTGAAGTATGCACTAGACCAATTTTTCCTGCAGTCGTAGTCAATGCAGCACCCGCAAATGCCTGGCTTTCCGTGTCACAGGCCTGTTTGGACTGCTGACCTTCATAAAGCGATAGAAAAAAATGGAAGGATCCTGAAGGATAATCCTCTTGAAGGGAGCACATCTGGGATCCATTAAACACATTCTACCAATAAAAATGATACCAGATGAAGGTTGGCACTTTTAAATGACCGGTCAAGGATAAGATGGCCCTTTCTTGTTCCATGTCACATTGTGTGACCAATGTCACTCTGCTCGTCAAGAACGTCGCAAATGTCTGAGACAAGGTACACTACCCACTCAGTGACACTCCATGGCCAGTGCGGATTCCCTACAATATGACAATGACTTCTGGCAGGACAGACTTGGTCCTGCCTCACAATTCTCAACGGAAAAGAAGTGTCACCTTGTGTTCTCGCTCTTGATATTCTTGATGCTCAGTCTTGCCAATCTCCTTGAATTCATCTTCTCCAGCAAGCTCGTAATTGTCAAGCAAAGAGTTGGGAAATTTATGGCATATTCATCCATGGGTACCACAGATGATACACGGTTTCCTCCTGCAATGATCTTCCGGCTATGGCATGAAAACTACCCCAAGTCTCGTCGCTGGCTTCATGACATGGTAATCCTGGGATGTGCAAAGGAAATAGTACTGGAGGAGAGCAATAAACTCATCAATGATGGCAATCTTCGAATCAAGCTCAGTGATCTTACCATGGAAAAGATTTGGGAGCTTCTCAAGCCGGAAAGCATAGCAGCAAAGTATAAGGAGGCAGCTCCATTTCTCTGGGGCATTTTGCACACCTTTGCTGCATCTCCCAACCGTTATAGACATCAGAATCTACCCCGGACAACAGGCGAGGAGACTGAGATTGTAACTGGAGAAGACTTCCAAGGCACGGAAGATTTGAATGTAATGGATGACCTGCAAGAGGATCCTGAGAGAGGATCAGCCAGGTTTGCAGCATTACCACCAGGCTTTCTGCAGTCACCAGAATTTGTAAGTCTTCTAGTATAGTGCGAGGAGCACTAAGCATTGACTTACAATACATAAATAGGCCATTATCATGACAATATCCATGCTGATCTTCATCTGCAATCGTGCTACAAATATTTTGCCCATCATGCTCGGACTGTTCTTCAAAATTAATGGAACAAGCTCACGCGTTTTAACTATGCTGAGCAATGTCGGTGTATGTGTATCTGAGGACACAGTTGAGCAGGTGAAAAAGAGACTTTCCGAGGATGCCATCAACCTTGCGGTCCAGGTCATGACCAGCGACAAGCTTTATGCTGTAATCTTTGATAACATCAACATATATCTTCGAAAGTTCCAGCAAAGGGTTACGAACCACCACTCTATGATCAATGCGACGAATGCGGCTGTGATTGAGATTGATGAAGAAGGGATTGACAAGATGGCTGCCCAAGACTTGGATGCAAAGCTCAAGCGATGAGGCAATCGCAAGCATGCAAAAGCAGACGACATACTTCCTACACAGGAGGATGGAAATCATATGCTCTCAGCGTTTGAGGCACACATTGCACAGCTTATAACACGATACTGTCCTGGCAATGAAAATTGGGACAAGCGCACCGAGATACTCACCGATGTTGGTAAAATGATGCCAGAGGATCATCCATTACAACCAAAGAAGACCAAGGCATATCCATTGGGTGTTTTCGACAAGAACGAGGGGTCTAAAAAAGGGATTGTCGGAGTCTTGACAGCTATTAAAGATCGGTCGACCTTGACTGCAATGAAATGGGCCTCAAAGGTTCGCACGTTGCTTGGAGACTGGCTCACCTCAAACAATTTCCATGGTGCTCGAAGGGATCGCATGGATGATGTTAATGATATGGAGCGGCTGGCATATGGGCAAGAACTCAGTACTCTCTGGCATTATGCACTACAGGCGACACACATGATTATGCGGGTGCACTTTGGCTTTTCCACAGACCTGACATCCTTGGCTGCTCACAAAACCCTTCTTGGTCGTTCATGGGATGTTAAAAAGCCAAATTATGCAGCCGCAAAATCACTCATTCGACATTCATTGATAGCGAGACTCCTACACATGACAATGTGAGTATAATGGCCGCTTCTGTGTACATTGGTCAACTCACACTACCTTAGGATCTGTGTGGGCTTTTCAACTTGGACAGAACTTAGCGGTTGGCAACCTACAGCAGCAGACATCAAGAATACGGCTCATGAAATAAGCCTTCAGTATGTCAGTCCAAAAAGCACTGAAGAGGCGCAAACTGCTGGTGATGATTGGCTTGCCCATAGTATCTACTTCGTCCGGGACAGCCTCTTATTCTGTGAATTTGAGGATGCTGTGGCCTATGCTGATGCTGGTCGTGTTCTTCGAGTCATGAAGTTTTGGTGTCTAGCTTATCAAGGCTCTCGTCAGCACAATTATGCATGAGAATGTGTTGAAGTCCTTCTCACATGGCAATATGAACTCAACGATGCTCTTCGTGCCACTCTGGAATGTGCTTGGTTCTACAATCGGTGGGGACTACCAGGAAGATTCATTGCAACAGATCTATACATGGAACAACTGAACTACTGGGTCAAAGTCAGTGATGATTCCATGTGCAAGGTGTCTGACTTACATTTTCACACCAGCGAGGCTTCATTGCACAGGGAAGTGGCATGACCATTCAATACATCATTGAGAAGGGTTCCACATGCGTTGAAGCATTTCGTGATGTCAGTCATCGAGTCGCAAACTTTTTTGGGGATTCCGATCGAGCACGCCGGTCCAAGGAGTCCTCATTCAAGGAAGATCTAAAAAGACTCGTTGATGAGATGGTGAGGCTGAAGCTACATAACACTGATGAACCGGAGCAGCATCTGGTGCCTGCCACAGTCAGGACCTCAACAAGATCTAACAGGAAGGATAAGGAGAAGTCAGCGATTGTGGATGTTCAGGTTGTGGGAGCAGAAATTTGGAACGATGGAAAATTTGCAGACTTCCTAAAGAGGACAACATATGACCCCACCGTAGGCTACCCAATCAGTGGTGGGGATAGTCACGATGCCGAAAGTTTGGATGATACAGACCCATTCATCACAGGAACTACTTCATTCGATGATCCTAACATCAATCCTCTGGTCCACGACTCATTCAACGACCTGCATGGTGATGAGGTAATAGGACTCGGTTCGTTAGGTGGTGGTGGGGAGTACTACAATGGCCCAGAGGGTCTGAGCTGATGTCGCAGGGTGGAATTATGGATGTAAGCTATAGGTGGTGGTGCTCGTGATGGTGTAGCAGTAGTCGGCCAAAATTGAGACATATATCTTGGATCTGTAAGATGCGCATATGGATTAAATGAAGGGAATGGGCTTCCGGGTGGAGTCGCAAATGTGGTTGGCAATGAGAGGTTCGGTTGCCGTGAGAGAGGAGTCTCGGATTGGATGCTTGACCCCGCCAGAGCCTGATAGTTTGCGGAAGAAGCATGCAGTGGTGCTGGCCTTTTCTTTGGCAGCCACCAGGGAATGGATGACTGTGGTGTCGGCAGTGGCATTACACTTTGATTATGGGGATGGGGGGTAGATGGATCCATGACGGAGCTTGAGCTCGCATGAGGCATGAAGACATCTTCTGGATTGGTCTCCTGAACTGCGAGGAAGATATTAATACAACATTGAGCACAACAACATCCTAAGACTCACTACCAGTGAGCGGTTCACGTGGGCTTGCAGTAGAGGTGCTTGTTCTAAATACTGGCTGGGATAGTTTAGGACTTGGCTCAGTACAAATCTTTTTGCATGTCCTCCGCTGAGCCTTGGGCATTGTCAACGCCATTATTGCTCCCACTCGCCATGCTGCTATCACATCAGCAACCTCCTGAACATCTAGTGGCATGGCCAGGTCCCATCGTACCACACTTAGGATCAGATCTGGTGTAACTGTGGTGAACTGAAAATACCGATGAGCAGAAGCAACCAATGTCTCCAGTTGTTTTGGAGGCAATGCAATCTTGCTTGAAAGCATCAGAGTGCCTCGTTTCTGATGCCGCTCTTCCTGCCATCGCACTAAGCTCTTGCGAAGATGATCAAGTTCTTCCCGTGGCACATCTCTCTTCCCCCGCACTGCAACAATATCACTTGATTGGGATGTGTTTGAAGCGTGAGAGTCAGGACATGGTGCTAAGGCTGCCGACCCCAAAGGATAGAAAAATTCCTTCACAAAATGAGTAAGGCGTGCATCATCTGGCTCGGTGGGTCCAAACGGGACCACCAGGCTGGGATTGCAATGGCTACAGCATCGTGTTTTCGGGGCATGTCTTCCGGGAAGATCCAGTACTGTCCAGGTCATTTCAAAAGGTGATGACACAGTACAAGCACCTGCTCGTTGGGGAATTAGTGTCCCCTCCAGATCTTCACAGATAGTCAGTTGAGTTTGGGGGCAGAATGACCACTGAACAAACTCATGTAGGCACTCTAAAGAGAATGTTAGTTGACTCAGCACCAAAATAAAGCCAAAAAGATACCTTCGGAATTTATATTGATGAATGCTTCAAGACATGGATCAAGCTTCGCTCTGCGTATGATGTTGTCCTTTAACTCAGCAGGGTTCTTGACCCTCTTCCCCTGAAGCTGCTGCACAATGGGAGCCAACATGGAATTCTCCAGTCGTAATGACCATGGCGGTACTAGAAGGATGCAGACACCCTCAGTGACTCGATCCCGTCCTGCACGACCCCAGTGCTGAGCCACAGCTGCAAACGAATGTGGACAACCAAAAACGACACAAAATCTTATGTTGTCAATGCTACAGCCCATCCCGGCAGCATCTGTCACCACAATGATTCGGAAATCCTCAGTAGTAAACTTATCCCAGCATTGCTGTTTTGCCTCCTCTGACAAGTCAGATGAAAATGCATGCACGCAGGTGCGGAGGTGTTTGGGTAGGCATTTATGTAGGGACTGTACCAAGGAACAGCATCCTGCTTCGGAGTCAAGGTACAGCAATGTCTTAGGAAGGTCTTCACGATGAGTGTCGGGGCCAAGATCAGGCGGTAATATATTGAGAATATCAAGAACAGGATTGTCAGGGTATTGCTGAAGGCGTGTGAGATAAAGAAGGTTGTGGCGATCGGTCCCAACATCGATGCCCCAGAATGGACGATGGCCGTAACCTAACGACGACCATATCATGTCGAACATAGTGGTCTGACATGTCACAGTACATGCAACAAATGGGATATCTGACCCAGTGAAGCCATGCAAGGCCTCACCCAGCTTTCGATACATCGGATGGAATGCATCATCCCCCCACTCGTCTATGCAATGAGCCTCGTCTACCACGATTGTGGTCAGATGTGCCCGAAACTTGGAATCCTTCCATAGCTTCATGAAACTGTCTGACAGTGCCATCTCAGGAGAGAGATAGACCATCTGAGCCATTGTCCGGACCCATGCCCAGAGTTTCGCGGTCTTGTAAGTGTCTTCATTGATGGCGAATGCATCTAGGCCTTTCTGTGTTGCTTGTTTGATCTATGATACATCCTCCATGAAAGGAATACCCATTATCAACCACAAGAACATACCTGGTCCCACTCGAGAGCCTTAAGTGGGGATATCACCATCACCAGCTTCCCTTTCCCTCTCAAAGCCGCCAAACCTTCGAAAATCAAACTCTTGCCATAGCCAGTACCTGCACAGAAGATACTGTCATATCCCTGCAGTATTCTGTGTATGAGATGGGCCTGCCAATCGTCCGGATGATACGACAGCTTGAACCTCTGCTTGAGATGCGATTTGATGGCATCCATGTTGAGATTCTTCAGCATTTTTGTCTTTATGCCCTGTAAACGATTTGTTCGAGGGTATTTGCGACGTCGAGGTGTCCCCGGGGTCCTAGGTAGGGTGGAAGATGGATTGGGACGCTGAGGCTGGGGTGGGGTGGTAGGAGGCATCGATGTGACGCGTCGCTGAGCTTCAAGCAAACAAAGAAACCAGGAAAATCGGAGCTAGAAATGTTTTTTGAGCTCCAAGCATTGTGTTTCAGGCCGAAATTTGGGACTTACCATGTGGTGAAAGGAGTAAGAGCCTTGTGAACAAAGAGTGGTTGTCCAGCAGTTTAGACCAAGCTTCCGAGCATGTTATCTTGATAATTACTTGAAATTGGGATATAAAGAGTGTGTGATATTATGCATCAAGCTAAGATGGAGAGCTTTCACACTCAGACTGAGATACAAGGAGTGTCAGGGAAGGTGGTGGAGGCTCGACGACAACCCCTTCGATCACGTCACTCTGTGGCAAGCCCCTTCGCGATGGCTCGCCCGAAAATATCCACAACAAATATAAACAGAGCCAAAGCGAAAGGGGCTTGGAATAGGATCACAGGAAAAACCTTGATGACGATTGGTCCCCAGTAAGTTACCAAGGGACTCATTGGGGGGGTTTTTCTCCACGTAATTTACCTGGTAATTTACCGAGTCATGTGGCAATACCAGCATTTTTTTTTTCCGGCTTCGCTTCATCAGCAGCGAAGCCTACTACACTACCAAATGATACATTAGTCGCTCAGCTAGAACTCTACTTCATAATTCTCATCGTTTCATCAACTTCCTCCATGGCCACCTCTTTTCCTTTTCCTGCACGCTTGGTCACCTTCGACTGTTCTGCCAGCATACTACAGACTTATCCCTTGTGTCTTCATACAAAGTAAAAGACGAATCGGGAGAACAATAATTTGATATTACACCTTACTTTGCAACTTGTCTTGCCTGAGAAGCAAATTTCATAGACGCGCCTCGCGTGTCGCTCTCATCATGACCACATGCAAGGTAACTAACCTACCGACTTGAGTCTAGATACCCTTCCTGGTAAATTACCGGGTAAATTACTAGTAAATTACTTAGAAAAACTATTTTCGTGAAAAACCTGGGCTTTTTCGCGCAACCCTAGCTTGGAACGAACCTAGGGATCTGCGGTCACACCGTTTTGTTTGTTCTTGATGGGCAATCGCTGGCTCAAATGTTTTTGGATTCAGGCAATGGAAGAATACCGACGGCAAATGCCGGTGTCTTTCTCTTGTTGCCCTTCTCGAGCTTCTCAAATTCAAATGACGCAACCTGCAAATATTCATCTTTTTGAACCCAACGTTACTCAAGGACGAAAATCTGAAAGGTCGCCTCTCCAGGCTATAATGACCCCTATCTGGGGAAACGAGATGCCATGGCTAACAGTCAATCAGACATCCAAAGGGAGGGTCGCAAGGCACTCGAAAACAAGATATCAGTTATGCAGCGTGCTGGCGTCGAGAATCCACATGCAATCACTTTTTGCCGACCATCGTTCCTAGTTTTACTCACCAGTGACCTTGCCTGGATACCAAGGCTTCACAACGTCCGACGCGTCCTTGTCAGTCAAGCTATCCACCGTTTCCTTTATTGATATTACAGCGACACACGGCTCCAAGAATTTCAGTCCAGGCTGACGCGCCGCAGTGCCTCAAGCTGCCTCAAGGTCGGCAAATGCCGCCGTTTCTTTCAAACTGGGCCAGCATGCCTTTGCCACTTGGCTTTGTTCTCTCTAATAGTGTTCAAACAAAAGGAGGGTGTCCATATAAACCAGCGAACATGCATTGCAATGCTTAACCTTTCCTCTTTACCATTCTCATGCTTCCTCACTTCGGAGAATACGTCGTTCTCAAACTCGATCTTGTGGCTTCCCTCAAGTCGTTGAACGATCCTGAGGTATCGAAGGCCTGCAGAAAATTGCAGAGCAAGACTTATGTTGCCTGTGTCATCAATGTACGTTTATTGCCTGCTTGAGCGCGTTCATCAGTGCCTAACATCAATGTACATTAGCTCTTCTCTTTTCCCTTGCCTGGTGCCGAATACGTATCCGTTACAGCGACTCTAGTTTCCAAAGGTCTTCCTAGCAGTGATCCTGGACGCTCTATAACGTCTGACATATCGGTGCCAATATTTCCAAGCACCCGCCATCCACTTTCGCGACCACCGATGAAACCTTCCAATCCTCTTCCTTGGTCGGACTGTTACCACCCAACACAGGCAACAATAAAATGTCGTATTCAGAACGACACCAACATCGGGGATCCATGGCCAGAACCGAAATACAAATTGGACGTTGCTGCTGATTCGCCTTCGCCTTGCTCAGTATTTTAGCGAGGATACCGACCGTAGGGACGTGCTGCGATCTCAACAAGATGGTTCATTCAGCGGCGACACCGTCGCTGCTGGAAGAGCGTCTCACAGTGATGAGCTAGAAGAAGATAGAAGATCCAACGATACATTTCCTGTTTGGTTTGAACAGGACACTGGGAGCGAGTGCTACCGATGGGCCAAAGAAGGACACAATGGGATCGCTCATCCAGGCAAGAACGCTGGTAAATCTCGGTTATCGACCCCATCTCAAAAACCTTTCACCATCTCGTCTTTCCTTCGTCGACTATTCGCGAAGGTTCCACGCCTATCTCATTCCCCGGCCAATCCCTATGACGACGGCGATGATATCTCGGCATTAACATTCGATCCGGTCGTAGCCGTTGACAGCACATCTCGTCGGTCCCCTGCGGATAGTATGCCTGTGGTGATTGTATCAAATGATCTGGGATCGGTTCAACAAGTCAACGATCCTTGGGAGTTCTTTCGTGAACTTGATGCTTTGAAGAAGTAGGTCAACCATTTAGCATTGCTGGAATATGTAGAATCTGACCATTTGTCATTTTTAGAATCGAGGAAGAGTACTACGAACGAGTAAAAGCAAAGACGTGTTGATATTGAACTCGTGCGACAAAAGGCTCAAGAGCCACATGTTCAGCTAATTCCATACAATCCGATTGCTGAGGATGCTTACTTATGGTTAATGTTATATCGTGCTCCCATCATTCTACCTGTTTCTCCGGACTGAGAAGTTCGTAAACCGTAGATGAAGTCTCTGACCACTTAAACATATACCTCCACTCTCAACTGGTTCTGTGATCTAAACACGTGCATTCAATGTTACGGGGATATTGTTCTGATAACCGTAGGCGCTGGATAGTGAAATAATGAGCATATTCTTCGGTCTCACACGGCAGTCCAGAAAACGAAAATTCGGAATGAATAGTCTTTGTAACACAGGACATTAACATATAGATAATAATAAATTATGAGACGGCCTTGGGGCCACGAAATTAAAGGACCAGCCACGTGGACGCTTTGCTATACACAGACGCGGCAGGCTTCTTGCTAGGAGGTGAGCGCAGCTGCACAGATGCGCGGTCCTACGGGAGGAGTCAGATTGAACTGTGGAAAATGAAGATGTCGACTAACAACACCCATATTGGTCGAGTCGGTGAGTTGCATCGACTGACATAGGACGTGATTAAAAGGAATACCAGCACATGAAGCCGTAACACGAACCTGCATTTCCAGCTGCAGACGCTGCATTTGAGAAGACTTACGACTAGAAGCATATTGACGTTGCTTCTGAGCGCGATACTACATGAAAGTATAGTGAAAGTATAGTTATAGTTTCCACAGAAAGTAACGAGAAGTACCGACCTTGAGCTCGTGCATCTGGATATCTTTAGCGATCCTTGTGAGGTAGTTTTCGTCCCCCATAATCCTTCCAGTAAACTCTTTCAGTTTTCCTCTGCTGTAATTCGTGAGCTTAGCGAATTCAGATGGCTCCATCGTATACGGTATGTTTTGATCGCCGAAGCACATCCATCGCTCGACCGGAAGCTTTCCGCTCTGTGGCGACATGGGTATCACGACAACCCATTGGGTCTTCTTCGGTGAGTACATGCGCCAGTTCGGGGACGTTCGGATGGTGAACTTGCCTTCCTCATCTTTGGTTGCGTTAGTACAGACAGTGATCGCGAAGTCTTGGTATATCTGGGGAAGATTAATTTCGTCGTGGCCGTCAAAGGTCCCCATGAGAAATAACCAGGGTCGGGTGTCGCCCTCAGCTCCAAGTGGAGCGCGGCATAGGATTCCAGGACGTCGGCGACCCGACTTCTCCGATAAACGCGAGGAAGAACAGATAGTTTCAACGATTCTACGACAGGCAGGGGTGACTGCTGTTTTGATGGAGGCGGTCTTCATTGCTACTGCAAGTAGTTTGTGGAATGGCATCGTCAGAGATTCTTCAACAACGAAGATGTCCCCGTAGCGCGGTTTCGTCAGAGTTTTAGCGGGAGGGTCACTCCGAGGTATAATGGTGATAGAGGACGGCATGCTGGGACTCGGAAACGGAAGATGTAGTGGGTGGCAAGCATAGAATGGACAAAGCCATGCCTGCGCATACTTATATATATCAGACTGAGTAACCTTGTCAGGAGAACAATTCAACTAAAGAAAGGACAAAATGAAGGGCCATTGAATATGTTGGGTTGAGGACAATACTGTACATGATCGAGATCGTTTGTTCGATGGTTGGTGCCAGGATCGGCAGTTGCCGGATGCCCTTGACCTCCCTCGTTATCCTTGTCTTATTCGCGTGTCGTGCCTTTGTTTCAAGAACAATGCAGAAACTCAGTGGCATTCATATTTTGGGACTTAAAATCAAATTCGAAACTCGCAGAACGAATATCTAACCATCTCACCCTACTCGTTCGCGGTCATGATCCCTCACTTTGGAGAATACATCGCCTTCAAGCTCAACCCAGTCGCCTCTCTCGAATATTTGAAGGATCCTGAGGTAGTAAAAAGCTTGCGAAGCTCTGGAGACGAAGACCTATGTTGCCTGTGTCACCTATGTGCGTTCATTGGCGTTGTTGATACGTCCGTTTTCCTGACAGCTATCTTTCCATAGCTTTTATGTTTTCCAGTTCCCGGCGTCGAGTACATACAGGTTGCCATGACCTTACTCGCCCAAGGTCTTTCTCCTGGCCAGCCCGATCGTTTTATTCTACCAGACATGGCCGTAGCGGTCCTTCCAAACACATCCAACCCATTATCGCGCGCGCCACTCAATCCTACTGTGCCTCTCCCTTGGCCGGACTGCTTTCACCCGACCCAAGCTACAACAAGATGTCGCATTCGAAACGACTTTACCATTGGAAATCCGTGGCCAGAACCCAAGTATCTATTGGAAACAGAAGATGGTCTTCTTGAAGAATACTGCTGGAAGGATGCTGAACGCAAGCAGGCTCTTCAAGAGGCACAGCAGCCGCTATCTGTGGATGGAGGTGCTGCCGACGGCCCCCCGGACGAGCGTGACGCTTCTGTGGTTACTTTACCGCTTCCTTCTGAGCATGACGGTGAAAGCCATCATTCTCGTCCAGCCAGCATCGTGGATGTACCTCTAACGACCGCGCCAAGCTGGTTTTCAAAGGTCTCTAACCTCTTTCGCGGACTCGTCAAGAAGGTCTCGCGGTGTGTGCCTTGTATACACGCACCTTTGGACGATGATGACGTCAAGGACTTTTCGGACGACCCAATCTGGGGTCTCAGTTTATTCGGCACCCTTCCTCCAGACACCATGCCAGTCATAGAGGTTTTGGACGATCTGGAATCAGTGAAGCAGGTTAACGACCCGTGGGACTTCTTTCGCGAGCTCGATGCCCTGAAGAAGTACGTAAACTACCATTTGCTGTTGAATCACTATGCTGGTTGTCTGCTTTTGTAGGATTCAAGCAGAGTCTCATGAACGAATGAAGGCAAAACTTCGAGTTGACATCGATCGTACGCGCCAAAAGGATCAGGAGCTCCACGCCCGACTTGAGTCAAAAATGCCAAAACGTGAACCTTCATCCGAGGATACAATATCGTCTTCCGTCAAAGAAGGTATGTGCTGAAAATATCCCTTACGCCTTTCCTGAGACTGATTACGCTATTGAAGATGTAAAGCCTGGTGCTGATGCTTAATCTGTTTCTAATTCTACTCGGGCTCTCGCCTCCCGAACCATTCGTTTTGTGTTACCGTCCACGCCCTTTCATTCCACCGCGTAGCATAGTTTATCTTATCTTAATTTCTTATTGCATTTTTCTTTCACCTACACCGACTGTATGTAGTCTTAATCAACCATTCACATGTACTCAGAATTGACTATCCTTCTAAGGTACTTGCACCTTTATCTGACACTATGGCGATGTAGCCTTGGCAGAGTCGACGGCTTCAATTCTGGGGCATTGAGGCTGGCAAACGTTTCTAGAGGTTTACCGACCCATACACTGGGACAGAGAGAAGATACCGGCAAATGCCGGCGTCTCTTAAAACGAACAAGGAACCGAAGAAACCACTGCGCCCTTCAGAAAACAAGGATAACGTGGGAGGTCAAGCTTCAAGCTTCAAGGCCAGTCCAGGAATTGCCGATCCTGGCGCCAACCATCGAATGAAGTCGGGCAAGCGATCTCCATCGTATAGTCCTCGACCATGAAGGATACCACAAGGCGCCTCCTCTTGTTGAGCTTCTCGTTGTGTTCCGTTGATTCTTTTTGCCAGAATCCACACTTCCTTCCCACTAAATTAGAAGATTCTGCCTACTCAAATAAGCCATTCCACTCCTCTGGTCTCAATCTCTACCACGAGAAGCCGCTGTCAAACGTGATTTCATGACTGGCGACTTTTCTTAGTCTGACTTGCCCGTAACAGCATCGTGGTCGTTTCATTTTCCTTGTCCTAACTTGCGAGTTGTGTCTTTGTTACAGCGAGTAAAAGCAAAGACGTGCTGATGTTGAAATTGCGTAACAAAAGATTGGAGAACTACATGCTTAACCAATTCCATGAAGTCCTTTGAAAAGCTATATCATGCTCCCGCGCTTCCACCTAGTTCGTTAAATCGAGAAGCTGGCCAAAAGTTGGCATCTAACGGATGCGTTGACCATTTGAACATGCAGTCTGCCAGGCGGCGGTCCCGAGAGGAGATGCAAAGAAGAGCACCGTGAGCTGGCACCCAACGTATCAACAGAAGAATCGTGCTGTACATGCACTTTATAGATATAAATAAGTTACGAAAGGACATGTTTCGAGGCTCGATCACAGAACCACGCGCGCGGAGGCCTTACTATAAACCGAGGGTGCAGGTTTCTTGGAAGGTGACGACCGATTCATCGGGGCACGGTCCTATGAGAAAAGTCAGCCTAAACATATCTTCTAGAGACAGAAAGTGAACACTAACAAAGCCGGTATTAGTCGAGTCGGCGAGTTGCATCGACTGAAATAGAGGTAATTTACTGAACAGAATGCGTGGATGCACTGCCAGACGTACCTGCATGCCCCGCTCCAGCTGCTGCATGTTGAAGGATTTGCGACTGGCGGCGTATTTGAGTTTCTTTTGGGCACGATACTAGTACAAGGGTACAGTAAGTATCACTGGAGACTGGAGTAGGCCGCCTAAATCGTGTGCTCACCTGCCGTTCGTGCCTATCGAGTTCGTTCGCGACTTTGACGAGATACTTCGGGTTTGAACTGAGCTTCTCGAAAAAATCGCCCAACTTTACCGTGCTAAGGCTCACAAGCCGAGCCAAGTCCGCAGAAACCACGCGATACGTTCCGTTGCGAGTCCCGAACGCTACCCAATGATCTTCAGGAGGTACCCCACTTTCCGGAGTCACAGGTATCACCACAACATGTTGAGTTTTTCCCGGGGAAGATGTTCGCCATTCTGGAATGGTTCTGATGCAGAATGTGCCATCCTTGTTGGGGGGTCCGGTGCGGACAGTGATCGAAAAGTCCTTGTAGATCTGAGGAAGAGTCGTCGCATCTTGGCCACCGAAGGTTCCCATGAGAAATAACCATGGCTCGTTTGCGCGATGCGGTAAGCCGGCCGGGGCAGGACAAAGAATTGCAGGTCTTTCCTTTCCTCGTCCACCTATGCCAGGCTTGGTGGATAGATTCGAAGAAGAGCATATGCTTTCTATGATCCTTCGGCAGGCAGGACTAGTCTTGATAGAGGTATTGTCGAGTGCCGCCATGCATAGTTGATGGAACGGATGGAGCAAAGATTCGTAGACGCGGTAGATTTCACCGTGCGATGATGCATTGGGGGATTCATGAGTTTCATGGGTGGCTGGAGCAGGGCGGGGAATAACAACCACAGACGATGGCATAGGTGGCAGAGTAGAGCGAACTCGAAATTGTCTGGAGCGTTTCGCACTCAAGCTTTAAAGGACTGGGAGGATGACGCGTTACGAGAAACAAGGTGTAGCTCCGGAGAACAATAATGACAGAGAAAGCTGAAATGTATGTATTGAATGTTGAATGGCCATTGATACATACAGCCATAATAACAATGGAGAGGTGGCAGGACGTAGCACAACGATGTAGCAAGGAGAGATGTTGAATGATGCCGATCTAATGCCAATCGGCGATCAGTATTTAGTCGGATCTCGGCAACTTTGCCATCTGGGTGTCAGTGGCTCTGACCAGGGCGGCCACTTTGTTCAATGTTTCCTTTGTTTTACTTATTCTTGTCTGGTTTCCTTGTTTCTTTTTCCAAAGAACAAAGAAACAAAGAACCCACTGCGTCCTTCGGCGCTTCATTATCCCAGCGTTTAAAATGGACCTGGGCGAGGAAATAACGCCCAAATTTTCCCTACTACCTCTAAAGCTCCCACTGTCAGGCTCTACATCATGATGCTTCCTCAGTTTGGCGAGTACTTTACCTTCAGACTGGACCCTGTTGCCTCCCTCAAATCACTGAATGACGACGAGGTAAATGAAGCATGTAAAGCTTTGGGTAGTGGTAAAACATACGTTGCCTCAGTCATCAACGTACGTCTGCCTACCGCTTCGATATCTTCGTGTTCACTGAGACTTTTTTCATTCCTTAGCTGCTCTCATTCCCCGTTCCTGGTACTGAATATCTGTCCGTGGCTCTTACGCTAGTATCACAGGGTCTCCCAGAAGGTTTACCAGAGTCCGACATAATGCCTGAGATGTCGGTAGCGATCCTACCAAACACATCCAACCCACTGTCGCGACCACCACTGGAGCCTTCTACCCCCCTGCCTTGGTCTGACTGCTACCATCCTACACAATCCATGACGACGTGCCGAATAAAAAACGACATCATCCTTGGGAAACCATGGCCCACTCCTAAATGCCGCATCGATGGTCACGCACGGAACCTTCTTGGTGGAACATACTACTACGAGGATGCTGAGCGGAGGGAGGTCTTGAGGAAAGCTCGAGAGCAACCACCCACCAGCAGCCAGCCAGAAGAACATGAAGCATTTTCAGTTATCTCACCTCTTCCAGAGTCTCAGCCGGACACCCACAGCGACTACGAACCTTCGCTTAAGGACCCTGAAGATGAAGACGATACGCCAGCGTTTGACATGCAAAGCCAATGTTCCGAGTCACCCAGCATGACGAGCGAGGTTTCCGAACTGCAGGAGCCTGGTCACAGGCGACGTTTTTCTTTCAAGTCATTCTTCCGTAGACTATTTCGCAAAATTTTGCCTTGTGTTCCATGCTTGCGGGGAAATTTCTGTGATGACGACAGCTCCTCAATGTCACCGTCCTTCGACCCATACGCAGTCATTGCCGGCCTATTCGGACCTCCACCCGAAGACACGATGCCGGTGATAGTCGTATCGAAAGACTTAAAGTCGGTACAGGAAATCAGCAACCCTTGGGACTTTTTCCGTGAACTGGACACTCTGAAGAAGTGAGTAGTTTCGTTCGAACATCTTAGCTACGCTTATGAACTTCCCGACGCAGAATCGAAGAACAGTATCACGAGCGTGTCAAAGCCAAAACTCAAGCTGCTATTGAAAGCGCCCGACAAAAGGATGAACAGTTACATGCTCGTCTACAAGAAAAAATGCCCCGTAGTGGGTCTGTGACTGGAGATACTTCAAAGGCCTCCGCTTCCTCTGTTTCACGAGGTGTGTATGACAGACGCTGACCCTCCCCTCCATACTAAAATTGTTATTTACGGATTGTAGATGCAACGCCAGGTGCCGATGCTTGATCTCTCGTCTTCAACAAAACGTTCTGTCCACTATATCATCTTTGCATCACAACCATTCGTTTAACTGTTTTCTTGACACTCCTTCGTTGTTATCTACAGCATTTAGCATACAGTTTTTGAATCTTAATCTATTGCGATCCTTCTTTGTGTCACTAGGATCAGTCCTCCATCATTATCATCAGGTTCATCAACAGGCATATGTATCCTTGCTCTCAACTTCGCACTTTGCTGCTGAAACTTGAACGTTGAAACGTTAAACCCTAGATAATTGAAATAAACAAGCCAGACTTGGGCTGAGGCCAGTTTTTACTTTCAAGTGAGTGGTGCCGCAATCTCGGCAATTGCCACTTGACCTGCCGTCACCATCGGTTTTGTTCTTCTTGTTGGATTCGTTTCCATGCCTTGTCCTTCGGAGAACAACACAAACAGATTTGATGTCGACCCGTCCCTATTTCTCAGGATACAAAAGGTGAACCCAGAGGACTCGTACTTTGAAACATTTTACCCCCACTCTCAGGCTGCAATATCATGGTCGTTCCTCATTTCGGTGATTATATAGCTTTCAAGCTCGACCCAGTCGCTTCCCTCTGTTCTCTCAAGGATCCAGAGGTTACCAAATTCTGCGAAGCCTTAATGACCAAAGTCTATGTTGCTTGTGTCACCCATGTACGTTAACTGCCAACTTGAAGAAGTTTATATTCAGCCAACTTTTACCGCCTTCCAGCTCTTCTCTTTTCCCTTGCCTGGGGTGGAATACATATCAGTGTCCATGACCTTGGTCTCTCAAGGCCTTTCTGATGGCCAGCCAGATCGATTGATACTGCCGGACATGGCTGTCCCAATTTTGCCTAATACTTCCAACCCCCTTTCGCGACCGCCACTTAACCCTACGCTGCCTCTTCCCTGGCCAGACTGTTATTCACCCTACCCTGACTATGACGCACTTGTCGTATTCGAAACGACTTTCACTATTGGAGACCCATGGCCCGATCCTAAATATCAATTGAGGCACCAAGAGCGGCTTCTGGAGATCTACCACTTCGAAGATGTGGCGCGTAGGGATGCACTTCAGAAGGAACAAGAAGCTTTACGCGTGGGCGATGGTGCTGGCGATGTCGACGGTGACCAGCCAGACCAGCGTCAAGCATCTAGGGTCACTTTACCTCTTCCATTCCGAACACGACGCTGAAAGCAAATACGGTGGTTCAGTTCATGAATCTATGGAATCTAGTGGAACTCCGATCGTGTTAACACGTCCTTTCAAACTGACGTCTTTCCTTCGCTCGCTGCTTGGCAAAGTCCTGCGGTGGGTACCCTGTGTGCACACAGATCTCGATTACTATGACAGAGACTTCTCGGACGACCCTTTGCATGGTTTCGATCTTTTCGGCGCCACTCCTCCAGATACTATGCCTGTTATAGAGGTAATAAATGATATAGAATCCGTAAAACAGATTCAATGATCCATGGGACTTCTTTCGGGAGCTCGACGCTTTGGAAAGGTACGCAACTCGTATCCATAATTAAAATTCTCCTCTTGACTCCTTGAATTTCGTAGCATTGAAGCAGATTATCACAAGCGAATGGAAATCAAAGTCCAAGCTGATATTGAAGGAGCTCGCGAAAAGGACGAAGTACTTCATGCTCAACTGCAGTCAAAAATGCCAAAACGTGAACCTTCGCCTGTGGAGACGGTAGCTGTGTCTGCTTCTGTTACAGAAGGTATGTACTAGAAATATTTTTACACCCTTTCTGACGCTGATCACAGTTATAGCAGATGCTAAGTCCAGCGCTAATGCTTAATCCATTCACCCTCGTTTTTTTGTATCACCAGAAACCCTGGACTTCGTAGCTTAACCTATCAATCTCATTCGTTTCGTGTTTGACCTACACTCTTTGTTAGCATAGTCTGTCTAATCACCGCAAGCATGCAACTTGTTAGTGCGAAATGACCCATGATTCTAGCAACTAGCGGATTGGATTCGGCAATTTCCGGAAATTCTAGCCTCTGCCTTTGTTCTATTTCTCTTCGTTTCCTCACAAGAATAATGGAAGAAAGTCTAGCGCCTTTCTACATTTCAAGGCCTTCGTATGGATCGCGCATCGTACTTCTCGCCACCATGCTCCCTCATTTTGGAGAATACATCGTTCTCAAACTCGACCCAGTTGCTTCCCTCAAGCATCTGGACGATCCCGAGGTGACGGAGGCTTGCGAAGCCTTGGAGAGCAAGAGTTATGTTGCATGCGTAATTAACGTACGTTGATGTGCCCTATAACGCGTTCATTTCACTAATTTCCACCTTTTATCAGCTCCTCTCTTTCCCTTTGCCTGGTGTAGAATACATCAACATTGCCGTGACCCTCGTCTCGCAAGGCCTCCCCAACAGCGACTTGGATCGTTTTATTTTACCCGAGATGTCGGCCCCCATCCTGCCCAACACTTCTCACCCACTTTTGCGTCCTCCAATGAAGCCTAGCAACCCTCTTCCTTGGTCGGGCTGTTATCACCCCACGCAGGCCATGACACGATGTCGCATCCGAAACGATACCAACATCGGAGACTCGTGGCCTGAGCCCAAGTACAAATTAAACGTCCCCGACCGTCTTCGTCTAAGCCAGCAGTACTTCAACGAGGATGCTGACCGCAGAACTGCTCTGCAACGGGAGAAAACACCTGCGTCGGTCCCTGATGGTGTCGAGGATGACGCTAGCCTTGGCCAGCCTGACGAGCGCCAAGCTTCTGCAGTTAATTCACCTCCCCCCCTGGCGCAGGAGACTGAAAGTCACTCTATTTGGGGAGTTGATACCAAGTCCCTTCAATCGGCCGCTGAAGTTGAAAATCGACATTTTGGGGAGGCCAACGGAGCGCAACGTAAAGGATCTCTCAACGTCTCGTCCTTCCTTCGCTCCGCCTTTGAGAAGGTTCTTCCCTGTATACCGCGTCTACGCACAGGTCTCTATGACGACGACGATAATGTCTCGACGTTATCTTTTGACCCTGCTGTAGCCCTCAGCATGTTCAGTCGGCCCTCCACGGACTTAAGTCCCGTGATAGTTGTATCAAATCATCTCGAATCGGTGCAACAGATAAACGACCCGTGGGACTTCTTCCGCGAGCTAGAAGCTTTGAAAAAGTATGCTGGTTAACTATTATCCCCTAGATGCATATTGATGATCCCGACTTTCGTAGAATTGAAGCAGAATACCACGAACGCATCAATGCTAAGATCCAGAACGATATTGGACGCACACGCCAAAAGGACGAAGAGCTCCATGTCCGACTTCAGTCTAAACTGCCGAAAGCCCTCCCAGAGGCGGTAGTAGTTCCCGCCTCTTCTGCTGCAGGTATGTATACTGTCAATGTTGTCATATGTCCCTTACTAAACCTATCTTCCAGATGCAATGCCTTGTTCTGATGCCTAATCTAGGTGTCTTCAGCGCAGATACTATGTGTATCGTCCATTTGTTTCTCTGATATCACTGTAGCACACCTTACTGAACTTCTTAATCGCACACTTTATCAATACTATTCCTATTACCTTTCAAGAACACGCCAAGGGACGTTGTTTTGTCTAAACCTGGAAATCATTCACTGTTTTACATTATAATTTCTACGACATAGACCCTGAAATAGACCTTGAATACATTGGTTTGAGATTTCAATGGCACCCAGCGTGCCCATTGGGTGTAGATCCTTGAGAGAACGCGGCAACACTCTTCGGATCTCTAGTCCCCGGAACATCCATGCTGGGATTCATAGTAAAGAACGACTGAGGCTTGAGAGTGACGCTTAGATGTTCAACAGGCATCCTATAAGACATGTAAGCCACAGTTCTGATAACATCAAACAGAAATACATACACTGGCCAGTCTTCCGGACGAGGGATATGCGTTGTTCCTATTCACCAGCGTCAGTATAAATGTACCTCAGAGTTGACGCAGAAGATACTCACCGACGGTCAGATATACCAAGATATCCTCATTCTCAATGTTCTGCTCCCCCTTCACCCACGTACCGATCGAATCTTCGGGACTCTCCCTGGTCTGCGGGACATACTTCCCAGCAGGCCACATCCTGCTCCCCTTCGCGCCCTCAACATCCCTGCACACCCAAATAGGGTAGTTCACGAACTGCGCCCTCTTCAACGCCCAACTGTCTTTCCTCGCCATCATCGGCGTAACACCACCCTTGATCCCGACAACGTAGCCGACATCCTTACCGCTACTATAGTGCTTCCTAGCGGGGTTGACAATCTTCCACTTCCGCTCCTTCTCCCAATCCCAGAGTCTTCCGGCCTCTTTCTTCAGCACCGTATCCTCTTGAATAAACGCGTTTCCAGCAAAGTTGAGGTCAGAGCCGGTTCCGGCGTTGGGGAGGGGGATGACGTCGGATTCGACAACAGAGTTGTTGAGACCGTCGATCATAGGGTCCACACGGATCGAGAAGAGATGCTGGTGATACTGGGCATTGACGTTAGGCGCAACTTTGGTGCCGAACTTGACGGGTTCGTCAGTCTCCGAGACGTAGACTTGAAGGATACCAGTCAGGCGAACTTCGAGCTCGATACTACCGTCCTGATAGAAATGGTAGTTCCAAATGTATTCTGTAGGACATTGATATCAATCTCAGTCTTTGTGGTAGTGAGAATATGGAACGGACCATAGTTGGCCAGCGTGCAGACCATGCTGATAACAAGACGTCTTCTGCGAACCGTTTGTGTACGGCCACCAGGGCGGTAATCGGTGTGCCTCCAGAGAACACCATTATCCTCTTCATGGATGCAGATGGCATTCTTGACGATGACCGCATTTCCATCATGTCCGACGTATGCACCAGGCTAGACCCATTGTCAGACATCGCTCTTCCATGGGATCTAGCGACACTCAACGTACCAAGTAGTGGATTTGTCCAACACAGTCGCACCCCAAGGATAGCTCATTGGCCATTGTTCCCATTCCATATTCACCTCTGTTTCGGTCAGATATTATGGTTAATGAAGTGAATCAAAGACAACTCACGAATCAAAGGCGAACTTCCGAGGATGCGGGTATTCTGGGGCTCCGTAAGGAACAACCATTTCAGCCAGCGACAGACGGTATATGATTGGACGTATTTCGCCGTTGTCGTTGTAAGTGATCGTGGAAAGGGCTATACCCTCGCGATGAGTGAAGGCTAATGTCGCATGATTAGTAGGGTGAGACCGAGAGTATCATGGCAACTTACATATATGCATCTTCCAGTTCTGCCACTCTAATTCATTACCATCAAGTTTAAAGCTGACACCCTCAGGTTGGACAATGTGCAGAGGCTTGATGTCATTTCTAGGCTTGAAATTCTCCTCGCTCTTCTCCATAAGATCGGGAAGGAAGTCAAACGGTTTGAGGGGAGGAGGAATGCGCGGTCGACTCGTCGCGGCAAACGCGTCTTCAGAGAGTTCAGGGAACTTGGTGCTGGGAGCGCTGAGTACCGCGCCGTTAGGAGTATTCTTGTAATGAGGAGGAAAATCTGAACTGAAGTGTCAGGAATAGAATGAAAACTTAAAGACGGGCCGGTACCTATATGTAGGACCTCTTCAGCATTCGCGTCTACGACGGCAATGAAATCCTAGGAAAATGATTTGAACATGATTCATTACAGCTGCAACTATGCGCTTACCATGGGATGTGCGTATAGATTCTCATGCTCCGAAAGCCGAGCAAATAGCAACGCTTGTTGGACACGGCGCTTCTGTGGGAAACGGTCGTCGTAGCCGATAGACCAACCATCACAGACTATCTGTTCGGGAAGAACACCTATGGAAAAGTGAGATATGTGACTATCCAGACATGGACTAGTCTACTTACCGACTTCTTTCGCCAATTGCTGCACCCGGGCATCGCTCTTCACAATCTTTTCGCACGCAACGAGTTCTTGGACAGAAATCTGGGGCTGAGCACCTTCTGGAAGCTTCTCGATGCTCTCAATACCCCATTTCCCATCGTCGAGAGCGAGGATAACATTATAGGCATCACTGTATCCATAAATCAGGTCTTTGTAGGTACCCAACCGGAGTTTACGCACCCGTTCACGACATCGAGAAACTGTCAGACTATTAGCTTCATCTCGTGAGTAAAGGTCATAGCACGTACATCAACCTCCGCTTTCCGAGTAATTGGGGTAGGCGCCTCAGGCTTTCCGCCAGGAGTCAAAGGAATCCCAAGGTAGGCAAGAACTGCTTTCTTGGGGGGAGGTAAAAGGTATGTAGTGATAAACTTGACGGCCTTGATGTCTGTCTTGCTCGCGATGTGGTGTCGGACTGACAGTGATACAGCGGCTATCTGAGGGTAATGTTTATCAAAACGTAGAATATGGGCGCGTTCGAGTTATACACACCTCGTCAGGAGTCAATGGGTCCAAAGGATGCTTGAAAGCAGTCGGTACGACGTGAGGGGAACTCAGAACCTCCGTTGCTGTGCTAGGAACCGTGGTGGAAGCCATTGACAATGTGGGAACATTCTATCACGGTACATTGGCTCCTGAAATAGTCCTGCTCACGATGAATGACTGAGCAGTAATGGAAAGATCACCTGACGAGAACGCGAGATACTAAGATAAATGGATTCCGCCCAAATTCCGGTCCTTAAAAGTGTAGCTTGCCTCTCCTTAGCTTCCAATCATATCGGGACATTGGTTACGGGAATTTGATCATGAGATAGGGGACAATGCGGCACCAATTGAGTCCTTTGTGCCCGTGACTTTCTTATCACTGCTCGCCGCGGCAGTTTTCACTGGCGTTTGGCTGGAATTTCGAAGACGGTTAACGGGAAGTAAAGGGTTAAATGCACCAAGTGCTCACCGGTACTGATCATCAGTTCGTTGTCATTGGATGGAAGTGAGGAGGTCCGCCATGTATCCGCAATGCGCATGTAAAACCGCTCTCTGCCTAGCCACGGCACGGCTGAGGTCTCAACCGGTAGGCGGAGCGAGTCGGACAATTACGGGCGGTCACGAACGACATTGATTCTCTGCTTCGAATACAGCCAAGAGAAAATTTGGAGGATGAGAGGATGCAGTGGATATCGAATACGGTTGTGTTCAAGTTATTGTTGACACGGCAAATAAGTTTTGATGCCCGAAAGTTGCCGGTGGCTGTACAACTACATTTTAGCTAGTTGCGACGTTTACTTGCTTTCTCAATGCTTTCTTCAAAAATATACTTAACTTCCTTCCTTCCTCTCACGCGCTTGATTTCTCCACCCTTGCGGAGAGAATGAGGTCCTTGGATCACGATTCTCTCGGTGCCAATCTGGGGTAGCATCCTTATCGGTACCCGTAACTCGAACGTGACTCTTGTCTCTATGCTTCTATCTCTCAGGCGGCTCGCTTGGTAGAAACGATACGTAATCGGACTCTTTGAGCCTATATACATACAGTACACCCAATGCGATGCAATTCCAACTCTTTTTCCTTTCGACATGCCTTCGAAAGATGCCATAAATGCAGCGGACGAGGCACGATTGGCGGCTCTCGGCTATAAGCAAGAGTTTAAGCGTGCATTTTCCCCTCTTGAGGTTTGCCTTCTTTGCCTCTTTGGCACAAGCGTATTCACTGATCTTATCGCAGGTTTTTAGGATTGCGTTCTCGATCATCGGTCTGGTGCCCTCAATATCTTCAGTTCTTTTTTATGCGATTCCTAACGGAGGAGGGCCGGCCATGGTTTGGGGGGTACGCTCGTCTCATTTCACTCCCTTAATGAGCTGGGCTGACAGAAATGCGAAGTGGGCCGTTGCAAGTATCTTTATCCTATGTGTGGCTCTGGCGATGGCCGAACTAGCCAGTTCCGCTCCTACCTCTGGGGGATTGTACTATTGGACCTACTCATTCTCATCACCCCGTTGGCGCAATCTACTCTGCTGGATAGTCGGATGTCAGTTTCTACACATGCTTTCACGACAGCGTACCCTTACACACTCAACTTAGACATGAACACAATTGGATCTATAGCCGGTGTAGCTTCGATTAACTGGGGATGCGCCGTTCAAGTCATGGCTGCAGTCAAGATTGGATCTCATAACCAAAGCTTTGAACCAACGAACGCCCTAGCTTTTGTGCGTTACCTTCGTTTTGTTCCATTTTCTCGCCATCCCAATTAAACCTTTTCAGTGGTGTATACGTAGCTATAAGTCTCACTCACGTCTTAGGATGCTGCCTGGGCACAACCGTTCTAGCAAGGCTGCAGTCGGTGTATGTTACCCTGAACGTCCTGTACGTACTCTTATCTATTGATGGCGCCTTTAATTGTTCTGATGTTCCAATACGATAATGTTGATAGGCTATGCTTCGGGATTATTATCGCCTTACCTATCGTCACTCCGTCGGAATTCAAGAACACCGCACACTTTGCGTTAGGCGAATTTGTCAACCGTGCGTTGTTTCCGCCCGTCAGATATTCATCTTTATATAGCGCTTATCATTCTCTACATAGTCAACGGATGGACAGATGGCTTCGCATTCATACTGAGCTTTTTGGCACCACTCTGGACTATTGGTACGTCGGTAGTACTACGAATATATGAAATAATATATCAATAACCGTGCTGTAGGTTCATTCGATTCCAGCGTTCACATAAGTGAGGAAGCCTCAAATGCTACTACCGTCGTTCCTTGGGCAATCGTATTGGCGGTGGGCATTGCCGGGGCGTTGGGCTGGGGTATGTGTTCTTCGCTTATACCAACAAGTTCATACTAACTTTGAATTTACAGCAATCAACATGACTCTTGCTTTCTGTATGGGGACCGACCTGCAGGCAATATATAACAGTGCCCAGCCTATGGCGCAGATTCTGTTTAACGGGTTTGGGCAGAAAGGAACCCTGGGTATCTGGGCGATTATTGTATTAGTACAGTGCGTTGATCTTTCCATCTCCTCGTCGCTGCGGTTCATAATATTGGCTTCGCCTTGACAGATACATGATGGGTTCTAGTATCGTAAGCTCATCCTTGGTCACAGGGACTATTATATAATACCCTTCTATCAGCTTCTAGCTGCCAGCAGGCAGACATACGCGTTTAGCAGAGATCGAGGTACCATATTCTCTTTTATGACTATCTGAGATTAAATGCTCATATCATATACCAGCCCTTCCATTCTCTAACTGGTTGTATCGAATGAATAGCTACACGGAAACACCAGTTAACACTGTCATTTTCGACGCCGGTTTCGCAATATTACTAGGACTACTATCCTTTGCCGGAACGAACGCCATCAACGCCGTATTTTCCATATCCGTCATTTCATTGTACGTCGCATACAGCATCCCGATCGCTGCCCGCTTTATCGGAGAGAACGACTTCAAGCCTGGACCATTTTGTCTTGGGATTTTTGTTCGTTCCCGTGAATCGTGTTTACTCATACACATCTCTAACAGCTGTTTCTTGTACAGAGCTTTCCGATTGCGCTGATAGCTGTCCTGTTCATGACCTTCACGAGCATAGTGTTCATGTTTCCTACGACTCCTCAAACGACTGTTCAAGACATGAACTACTCCGTAGTAGTGCTAGGAGGCGTGACGATTTTCTCGTTGATATGGTACTACTTCCCAACGTATGGTGGAGTTTACTGGTTCACGGGTCCCATTCCTACGCTGGATCCCATGAGTCCGGCATCAGAGGATCTCAGCAAAAAGGAGCCAGCCAACATAGTTGCAGAGCTAGTTGTAGAATAATTGATAATGGATTGAAACACTACTTGCTTTCGCCTTCATTATCTTGTTCAACTTAGGACTTTAAGGAATCAAGTATTGGTTCCGACCATTTCGCTATGCCCTTGTTGCAATTTCTGTTTTAGGTCGGAGAGGTTGAACAAATAGTGGGTCTGTGAATCAGTTTCCGAGTCGTGACTAGGCATACTATAGAAAGGTGTTCCTTGACTACTATGCATAGATGAATTTAAAACCCACAGACTATTAGTATACCGTAATAATTACTCAAGGCTGAGAACATTGAACAGGTTTGGAGAGCAGGCAGGGGCGGCTGCGCCACAGACGCGTGCTTGCAGTCGGATCTGATCGGCCCGGGGCCGAGCAACTTGATCAACAACTACGACATCCACGTACGCAAAACAGCTGATGAAGAGTCAATGGCAAAGCATCTAGCTCAGAAACACGGAGGCAGGCCAGTCTTTTGGATGTAAATTAGGGCCTAATCGGTTAAAGCTATCAATGTCTCTTAGCTTATTATATCTCCTTTGGCGCTCAAAAGCTGGAGTCTGATATCCATCAAACTCAGCAATGCAGTCCTGGGTGGTCTTTCAACGATATTATAGCGAATTTTTCGAAAATTGGCCCGCGTTGATTCTTGAAGGTGTTCGTGTTACCACAGGGTTCGCTTATATTGCTTGGGAACGAGGACCCACTTCGCCGAGAACACCTTGCTATCACCGCCAACACCTTGTGGGATCCACTTCGGCAAGTAGATGGTGTACCTTTTGATATAGTATTGAATAGGTCCCGCCGGGCCACGATTTCTATACCCCGAATCATTTATATTCAATCCCTTCTTCTCCTCAAGCCGCTCCCTGGCTTAGCCTGCTCTTCCACTGTACACGACAAACTCCAATGTCTACTCCAAAGATAATTACTATCACAGGAAGGTACAGATATGGCTATGCTCTCCGGCACCTCGGCGATGTACATATACACCAACTAACACCAACAACTTCGTCTATCTCTGGGAAGTGTTGCCTCGTGTCCTTCCCATCAACTTCTTTATGGGGCATATTTTCGCCCAGCTTATCAAGCAAAACTGCTCGGAGCCAATCGTCGGATATCGGTGCAAAACCAATTCGCAAACATAGCCATGTATGGAGGGCCTAAAATGCATGGGTCATATCGCTATAAAAGCCAGGTGTGAGAGCACGGTATGTCCTCAACAGTGGTCCCACAACACCGCTCCAGCATCTCCTACTCCTCTGCTCTCTTCTCCAAATCTCTTCTCTTACATTCAGCCTTGCACGGACATCATTGTACGTGTCTGCGCATCCATATACACATCTGACTGAAGCTTTGATACCAGGAACCATGTATTCCGGATATCCTGCTTCTCATCTCCAATTTATGACCCCCTATGGCGGCTCCAGGTCCCGTCATCCTCCCATTCCTCGTTCTTACGCGAGGTCGGGAGAAGAGGAGGACCAACCGTACATGCCTCACTACGGCGGAGGTATCAAAGTTCAGGATCGTGACTCGCCTGCGTTGAGATCACCGATTTTGGCGCCGTCCCCCGGTCAAGAGATCTCGTTATTAGATCAAGAGGCGTCTGAATCACGCAGTCCCGAGATGTGGGCGCGCTCTCCCAACCCTGTACGCGTATCTTTGTAATAGGCGCCCGGAAACTGTCAGGCTTACGCGATAATACTATTCTAGGGTTATGAACACGGAGGACAACCCGGACCAGCGCGTCCTTTTGACGCTTCGGGACGCTCCCATGCTTCGGTGAGTACACACAGCTTTGGACGAATATTAAGCTTATTTTGAATAATAATTTCAGGGCTACGGGTCTGCCACTTCCCAGCGCGGATCGAACTCTCCTCCCGGCGGATACCCCTCGACCTCAGCTACAGCCTATCCCCCGAGATACGCGACCTCAGTAACCGGTCTTCCATCTCCTTTCGCGTCCTTGGATCCCGGACCGCGCTACTACCGTCGACACACCCTCGAACAGTCTCCCCAAGGTGACCCTAAACCCGAATCCCCAGACCTTACACCCTTCTTAGCAAGGGCAGACACCCAATACGACTTACCCGAACCCGGCGATTACCTACGACAATTCCTCAATCTCCCACGCGGGGCCCCAGTCCGCCTCGAGTCTCTCACCAATCCACGCGATAGAGATGGAAGGCCTCCTTACACCATCATCCAATTAGCTGCAGCCGCGATCTACAGTCACCCCCACCAAAAAGCTTCCACGGCTGAAATCAGAGCTGCAATCCTCGCGCGCTTTGAATATTTCCGACAGAATGAGGGTACCTTGAAGGTTCGTCGAGGTGTTCCTGCTGTTGACGGCTGCATCTTACTGACGACGCATTCATTGACAGGAAACACTCAAACATGCCTTGTCCTCTCATGACCTTTTCAAGAATATGGGACGTACTACGACCGAACCTGGGAGAGGCGGTCTTTGGGCTATTGATATTACTAACCCTGAAGGAAGGCGTCCTCGCAAACGTAGGAGCACTCGGTCTCCCGAAGATGGGGGTTCCCCATCCAGCAGCCATAGCAGTGGCTCTGCTTAATCCAATTGGGCATCCACCGGTGCCATCTTGTTTTGAATAGAATCTCCTCTATGCCATCCCATTTTTTCATCTTCCTATATCACGACTTGTACTTCCACGATTTCTCTTTTATAGCTCTTGTAAACGCTATACTGTTGTATATGTCCTGTACTGCTCGAATACCACTTCATTCTTCTACACTCCTCTTGTAAAATCCATACTCTTGCAAATGTCCTGTATTACTCAAATACCGCACTGTTCCTCCAACTCCTAAAATAGGCATACTTTTCAAGAAATACCATTCGACTTATTTTTGTACTCGGCGTACGACCTCAACATTGGATTTGAGAGAACGTCCGGTTGGAATGTGTGACAAAGCCTACAATAATCAAGACCTTCGAAAATGAATGGTCAATAAATAATCGGTTACAAACTACGCTTATCGCAACCCTTCTCGGTGCTGGCGGTCCAGGCTCCTGGACTGAGGGATATGTACTACGGCGCCGGCGCCGGCGTAGGTAACCCTACCGAATTGAATTGTTATAGTCTATCCAGCGGAACCAAGTTGCTATGAAAGTGAAGATCTTTGATGCCTACGAACAAATAACTTGAACATGATATTTGACACGAAGGTGGAAAACACGCAAGATCGAGTTCCTGACAGGAGAGACTGGTAAGAAATTGGCAGAGACGCCTAATATGATTATGTCTAGACTCTGAAAGCGTTGGGCAAATTGGTATCTATGACAGTATGATCGGCAGCTTCAGCCTTCATTCAAGTCTTAGTCCGTTGTAGGGTAGCGCACGAAACCTAGGTCGAGGTTTATTACGGGTAAACTTACCGGTGGGTTACCCCATCGCTGGGGGGAGGGTCGGTAATAAGCCGTAACTTAGTCCCCTTGGAGGTTTCGTGCGCTACGCCGATAGTAATGCCAATGATGCCACTGTAGATTAGGGTAGCGCACGAAACCTAGGTTTCGATACACTTGGGTTTATTACCGGTAAGTTACTGGTAACTTACACCCCCCTCGCTGGGGTATAGCCGCTCACTAATGTATGATGACTCATAGCTGCAATTGACCGAAATTGGTGCTGCCTCATCTTCACCCTCGCCACGGACAATACCGGACAACTCAACGATGGTGAAAACAGCCAGGATAGTGACATGGCTATTTCCGATGATGAACGCCTGTCTGAAACGACTCAAGCAGGTCAAACATCGCATGCGATGCTTCACTGGGCTGGATTCGGCTTGTTTTTGGAGCTCCTGTAGCGCTATCATATATCCAGAGAAATATGTCGTCTTGCCACCAGTCTTGACAACAGAAATGAGATGGGTGCCATCTAAAGCCTTGCAGATGCCCTCAAGCACATAATCATGGATGTCGTGGGGTAGCCGAGGCCGAATAAGCTGTCGTACAAGTGCCTGGCCCACCGGCGAGCATAATCCGTCATTTGCGACATCTTCATCGGACATAGAAGGCAGTATAGGCGAGCGTAGAGGAAGCGTTGATCAACGCAAACGAGCCACGATCGCGCTACGCGTGGGGCACGTGCCGGCTTCATGGCGGCATCCTTTCGGAGTTCGAAAATCGCTGAGATTGGAGGGTTCCTCTGTGGACCCCCGCCCCGGGTCCCAGGCTAGGCTTTTGTCGAGGTAACTTACCTGTCATGTGACAGGTTGTTGAGCAGAATAATTTGGTACTATTACGTGTATATTTCAATTTAGGTTGTCTATTCACGATGAGTGGTCTTTACAAATGAACCACCTTTCCTTACATCAAGAAAATGTATAAAAACACGAAAACAAAGGTTGTGGAACATTTTGGGCAATGCGGCGCGTCAGGCATGTGATAGTGCACATGATGAGGTAAGTAACGGTAACTTACCGTAGCAAAACCAACCCCTTGGGGAGGGGTCGGTAACAAACGGTTACTTACCCCCCTTGGAGGTTTCGTGCGCTACCCTACTCCATTGTTCAAGAATTAAGGCGGTCGTTCTGAAAGAGATGCAAAAGATTTGGGGGCACCCGGGATCGAACCGGGGACCTCCAGAAATCGTATGACTTCAGTCTGTTGCTCTCCCAGCTGAGCTATGCCCCCATATCATAGAGTATTTATATACATAACCCAAGACCTAACGTAGCAGCACGTTTCCACTCCAGTTTACTACGATAGTAGAAAGTTCACGACGTCGCACCCGCAACCTCGCCCTCTCGTTACCTTGAAACGATGCTACACTTACACAATAACGAAGGACAGTAATGCTCTAGAGAAGACTGAGGTTTCTGCGCGTGTTCAGGTAGAAAATGACTATGAATCTTGACGAACTGCAAGCGTTGTGAGATATAACACTGAACAGATTATGAAAGTCTATTAAATATTACAGAGAACGAGCATGCAAATAAGCTACAGAAATACCAATATGACAGAGATACGCGTCCATCCATCCATCCACGAAATGTCCCACAATATATATCCTCCCTTTGCCTACTTACTGTCTCCAGGCAAACAAACCGTCGTTCCAGGCATCAACACCTCACACTCAACCTTCGGGTTCCACTGCCGCAGCTGCTCAAGCGTATACCCATGGCTATCCGCAATTTCCCAACAGGAATCGCCCGCCTGGACCCAGTACGCCTGCATACCCTCCGAGCAAGGGCTCTTGGGCACAGACAAGCCGGGTGAGAGGATGAGGCGCCATACAAGTAGGAGAACGACGGCGATTATTAGGAAGAAGGGGAAGAGAGTGCGGTAAGCGCCGGGCTGGGGAGTGTAGGTCGTTGGGACCATAGGGCGATCCTGGAATAATGAGGAAAGGATGTAGAATGATGAGAAGAACGTACGAGGTCAGTAGCGAGCTCCTGGTACCCGTCTGTGCGACGAGGGGCAGCTTCGATATCTTCCGTGCTTGATGAAGCGTCGGATACTGTAGCTTCTTAGCTAGTACAGTGCATGCATCTTAATAGTACACACCACGGGTCATTTCGCTATATTCAGCTCCTTCAGCACCCTTCCACGTGTCTCCATTCGCATCGCGGTAAAAGTACGTTTGGGTGTCCGAGTCGTAGCCAATGCGTTCCATGCCTTCTGGGAGGCGGTATGAGTCCTAGCAGAGTTTAGCATGAGGTAAATACATGAAGCAAGTTACTTGCTTCATCGTATTGCGTCCAGCGGCCCATCCTAACTTTAAGATCAAAGAAGTCGTCGTAGTCGTCGTGTGGCAAGATACTTGCACTGCCACCCGCGGTTAGAATTGGAATTTGGTAGTGTGCTGAGGTAACCAGGAACATCACTAGCCACGCCACGAGGCTCTCGTTTCCAACGTCCACCATGTCCTGCTGTGTCCCTACGCATTTCGGCCTTCCAACGTCTGTAGCCAGCGGAATCCGTTAGAAATGCGAGGTTCAGCACTGGAGAGGTGGAGAAAATAGCTTGCTTCTGCTGCGGATGCAATGAGGCGCCAACGACGAGATATTCAAGCGCATATACCCTGATCTCCATCGAAATGAACGAAATCGTAAGTGAATCCTTTCAGGAATATTAACGGTGATTAACTGTTAACACGTGCAGCCGTGATACAACAAGATTTGCTGCCGTATTTCTTCCGGCGTGCTGCACATGCGTCTCTGGGCTTCTCAGTACCGGTTCTAACTTCTCAACGATCCACATCCTCAGAAAAATACACGGTCCACACGATTTCGTGTCATCTGACGATTTCACATGGTTTCGTCGCGTCATACGGGCATTTCTGCTGCCTATAAGTAACTTGGATGCCTCCAACACAAGCCTCTCTCGTCCGCGCGTGATGTTGCTCGGTCTTCAAGTTTTCTTCCTCTTGGCTGCCTTGGTCAGTGGTGCCCCCGCTTCGACGGATCTTTCAATTGGGGATATCATCAACGGCCTTGGGATTGGCTTAGTGTCGAACATTACCGTGACCATAACTGTACGTTCTTTTATTGTCAACCTCGTCGACAACTGACGTTCTTGTTAGCTGGAATCACTCGTTACGAACCTCGTCGAGTATGCTGTCTCTTCCCTCTTCCATACTTAACTGACCTCCATCGAACGAACATAGCGTCGCATTCACCGGTAAGCCCCAGTCAACTCCCTTCCTTCCCACCTAACATCCCACGTCAACAGTGAAGAATCCCCTCCCCATCGAGCTCACCCTCGAGCGCGTCTCAAGCTCCGCCGGAATCAACTCCACCGAATACGCCTCCTTCGACCACACCTTCCTCGAACCCCTCGTCGTACCCATCCTTGGCACCGCGGATTCCGGCGTGATAGAGAACGTGTTGCTCACCCAAGGCGCGTTGGCCTCGCTCGATATCATCCCATTGGGGTTCCTCGATTTGCTCAACACCGATGTGAACTTGCGGTGAGTTTGGTGAGCGCTGATGATTGGCCTGGGGGATGCTGATGGTATGCAGGGCCGCCACGATTTTTGGGAAATTGGGTATCCCGCTAAACATCACGGGGCTCAAGCAGGAGAAGGTCCCAACGGCGTATGTGTATCCGTGTTTTTCTCTGGTTGTAGTGTCTAATGTTTGTGGACAGCTACGAGCTTTCCCTGGGTTCTTCATAAGTGTCCTCCCTGTTAAGCATACCCACGTTTGAGTCGCACTTCCGTGTATACATGTATATGTCTGTGATCCGAATGAGTCATTGCTTTGCACCACCATCGATTCTCGTTGGTGCAGTTTTCTGACCCCTCTCACGCGAATGGCCTCTGAGTATGTCTGGCGATGCCACACATACTTCAAGGAGCCCTTATTCTGGTGGGTGGTGTGCATATTGTGCGAGCTATGTGGGGGATGTCCTAGTGGAAATAGGGGCTGCGTCGTTTCTCTGTGGCTTTGCTCCAAGCGTCGACACACGCTAGTGCTCCATAGCCTCTGTGAAATGGTGTTCAACTTCCTGGTGCTACCATGGAGAGCTGCCACGAAGCCTCCATGTCGCAGTTACCACCACCTCTCCCTGGTTTGCCCCTATACTCATAGCCGCATACTCTGTCGTTCACCACCAGGGCACTGTCTAGCGACGATGCTGGATTCCGTTGATACCATGGGTGATATCTCTGTTTCTTCCCTTGCTACTGATAATACTATACTCCGGATGGTTTAACATGACATCTCCTGCGCGCTCCGCTTCATTTGATTTTCCACAAAATGATTCTTATATCTATACTTATGCGGAGGCCATCCTGCCGTATTCGTAGCGTGAGACCTTCTCACGTGATCGCGAGGATAAATTACGCGTCGGACATTTTCCAACTTGGACACCAACCACTTACTTTTGTTACTCTTCGACATAATTACCATGTCGTATCAAAGCGTCTACGTTCCATCGAACCACATTTCAGTCGCGCCTGCCGGTGGCCGTCGCCCAACTACTTTTCATGTATGTCAAAGCAGCTTTTTCCCTTCCTGTCTGGTTTCATCGCATTTGATAGGAAGCATTCAGTAAAGCCATGAGCTATTTCATGCTCAGTGGAAACTACGCGTGCAGTGAAACCTTCCGACAGACACCTACCCCCAACCTTGTTGTTGATGGGATCGGACCCATCAGTTTACCCCTTAGCACGCGCGACGCGCGTCTAATAATCAGCAACGCGTCCCGGGCGCCTTACGGCCACAATCAGCAGACGATCGTGAATACCAGCGTTCGTGATACCTGGGAAATCAACGCTGCTAGGATCACTTTCCGGAATCTGAGCTGGCAGACTTTTGTCCAAGGCACGGTGTTGCCGTCCGTTCTGCAGAAACTTGGAATGCAAGTGACAGCACCGAGATGTGAGCTGCATAAGCTGCTTCTTTATCAGGAAGGGTCTCAGTGCGTATTTTTGAGTACCTGTTGGCGGGAGAGTCACTAATAGAGATCATTAGCTTTGCTAGACACCAAGAGTGCGTCTTCACAGCTTGTCAGGGTGTCCTGTGATCTAAATCTCGTTTGTATAGCACCGCAAGAACCCCCGGGATGTTCGCCACAATTGTTATCATCCTCCCATCTCGTTACGAAGGCGGAGCAGTTGAAGTCTCCCATGCAGGTTCCTCCCGATCTCTGACGTTCGACTTTGCCTCGCAGTCTCAAACGTCGACGACCGTGCTTGCCTGGTACAGCGATGTCCACCACGAAATCCAACGGGTCACGTCTGGTTACCGCCTTGCCCTCACCTACAATGTCATTCGACCACCATCTCGAGGGACAGTTGAACCCCTGCCTTCTGTTCCTGACGTGTTGACTTTTGCAGTCGACAACCTGCGGAGTATCCTTCAGCGGTGGGCTGAGTTGCCCAATCGGCGCCGCACGTTCTTCGCGTACATGTTGTCACATCAGTACAGCATCGATGACCTGGAGGACGACGGGATCCAGGCACTCAAAGGAGACGATAAGCATAAAGTCGGATATGCTCGTGATATCGCGGAGCAACTGGGGTATGTGCTGCGTCTTGCGAGCATCGAGTATCACGAGCTGGGGGCACCAGATATCGGAGTATTGGCAGACGAAGTGCACAGGTACAAGCGCAGGCGGGGTGAGGATTTTGAGTACGCATCACGCAGGGATGACAGACTTGAGGAGGACGAGATTCCGGAGATGGATGAGGTCATAGTAACGTCAATGCAGGTTGACAACGTCGTCGACCTGGAAGGTAGATCCGTCGATGATCATTTTGATATGAAGACGGGGGATTTGGTTCCGGCTAGTCCAAATCAGGGCTTGAATCCAGTTAAAGGCATGAAGCCAGATGAAACTGACTATGAGGGCTACATGAGCAATGTATGTAATCTTCCTTCTGTTGATGATATGGCTGTAACTTGATGCTGCTTTTTTCTTCTAGTATGGTGCCGAACTCAACTACTGTGCGTATTTTATTTTATTCTGCTTGATTCTGGCTTTTTCCGATATGAAGCGATTTTAGACTATCACAGGACGGTTCTTATCTTTGCTCACGACGTCCCAAGCTAAAAGTTGTGAGCCTTGAGATGCATGCGGGACTTGTCCCATATTGCTTGATAACATTGAGATGAAATGACTTCAAGCTTTGTCCTAGGCCTCGTATTTATGCACTTATATAGCCAAAATTATGACTAGCGCTGGTCTTCACCTGCTACCCAATTCCGGGGCGAGTGAATAGACCTTTTCTTTTCGCGTGTTCTTGACGACTGTCTTTTGTTCAGCCTCTATCCCTGACCAACGCACACGTATGGAGGATTTTCATGTGAAATCTAGACATATTATCATACAGAGGGGGAGCAGGATATTTAGGAGGGCTAATAGTAAAAAACGAATACAACAAAAACACTTCAACGCCTCGGCTCAACGATAGCTTCTTCCGGCTGATTCTCCGTTTATCACTACTACCCTCCGAATCCCCCTGTTGGCTTCCACGAGCTTCAACATCTTCCCCAAATCCAAAACCCGTCAGCATGGAATCTTGCAGGGAATTCTTCCCCGTCTTATCCTGCCCAAAGCACAGCGACGAAGTCATCACACTCCCCTTCCACGATTCCTCCGCACGCGTATGGCACGTTGCAACACGGAGCAACGCCGGTGCAATACCCTACACCGACCACAATACATCAATACAATAACCCACCAAGTTCCACCAGAGGAAGGTAACGTACCCTCGTAATCTCAGCAATAGGATGAGTCAAAATAATGGAGCACGTTGCTACCTGCGTAAAAAAAGCACCATCCCGGTAGCGGCCAGATTCTTTCCTTTGAACCTGTTTCCTTCAGAGACGCAGATTCACGCACATGCAATCTCTGTGTATGATGTGACGCCAGTGTTTGATACCACGTACTTCACAGGGGTTCAGGTAGGTTTTAAGGGCGGTGGCTGCTCAAGCTAAGATTCGGAACTCCACGCAATATGCTCTCGTCCACTCACTCAGGTGCAGGCAGGCAGGAAGGAAGTAGATTTTATTAGTCGTCGGTGCTCCTGCCAACCAGAAACGTAAGAGGGACCTGGTGACAGTCAGTTCAAAGGAAATGAGTGTAAGGTTAGCATAATTTCGGTTGACTGAAAGAAACATCAGTATTAAGTAAGGAAATGAGAACTGTACAACGGCATACTCATGTTCAACCCAAACACTTGTTGAGATAAGCGGTAATTCTCCAGCCGCTCACCCAGATATAGCAGGGAACCCTCGCAAACAGGCGAGGGTTATCGTTGTTCGTCTAGCTATTTATCTACGATGTACACCTAATAGAAGTAATACTACGTAGTAAACAAGGCCGAGGAGAAGAACAAGCTGCCTTGCCTGACAACCGATGATCCCGACGTCAAACGCGCTGTGATGCGCGACACTTGATACTCCAACAACACTTTGACTGCCTGCCCTAGTTTGAGAGCATCTGAGCACGGGAGAGGGTTTACACAACGTTAGCAAAAAGAAAAAGCGAAAGGAACTCGTTGGTAGAGTTTCCTCGGCATGACTCCATTGGTGGTGGCACAAATCCGAAACAAGACCCACTGACTCGGAGAGTCGGCCTGAGACCTCCTGACTCAGACACCATCTAGGTTATGTCACGTGATCGCTGGATGTACATAAGTGCACGAGTCGATCAGCCCTCTCCAGCAACTCTCCCTCTTCCCACTTGGCCAAACGTCCGTCCTCCACAAGCAAGATAATTCGATACTGAGTTCTTCCCCCTTCTGTTGTTATTGTGATATTCCAGATTGTGGATGATACACAGATACGATGACATCAGCACCCCAAGACGTTGGAAATACCCAGAGGGTACGCTCAGGTCCCGCTGCCAGCCATATACCCGATCCCGGCGATATGGCTCTCCAGGTTCAACAAGCTACAGCCGTGTTCAATACCAGTCCGAACGAGGAGGCTATCGATGTTGCGACGTGTGCGGACACTATCGGACGAGACAAATATCAAGTCTCAGGGCAGCGGGAGAAGCTCGAGGATCCGACGCCGGGAGACGACAGAGACCAGATCCTGGAATCGATGAAGAAACAGATCGCGGAACTTGAACGTGGATGCGAAGCCAAAGACCGGAAAATAGTGGGGATGAAGACAAAGACTCGGATAAGCGCAGTTGCCGTGAGTGTATTTCATCTTCTTATTATATACCTGCTAACTAATCCCTTACTTTTTAGATGGACACCATGAACCGTATCGGTACTCAATATATACTAGACTGCGCCCAAGCGCGACTTGCGCTCTCTGCTGGCCTGGTCAGCCACCCTCTTCAATCCGCCAAACAGGGGTCCACCGCCCTTCGCAGTTACCTTGAAAAGTGGACTAACCCTCAGGACCGACTAGCTGCGGTGCGGGATCTCCTCGCCAAGTGTGACGACGATGAAGAGAGTAGGACTATGTCCGAGGATTTGTTCGGTTATCTAACTGTCGATCTGAACGTCACGTAGCGAAGGCGGATGATTACTTTTCGAGTTGTCAGTTGGTCGTCGCTTTTCGTTGACCCCTGTTTACTTGTAGTACTCTACGATTATAGGTTTGGCTCCACCTGTTCATTTCGGTTATTTTCAATTTATTTCACCACTTCTTGGAAAGTCGAATAAGTTGTCCATTCTAAACCTTGCAAGTTTAACGCATCTTGCGACTTCCTTCCTTCCTTCCCTACATTCTGCGGTTTGTATTGTTTACGAGTTTGCGATGTTAAGTGCCAATCTTTCTTTCACTTATTTTTGTCCGTGTCTCATGTGTTACATTTCCGCGTCGTTTCCGGGGGTACCAGAATTCAGATAAAGAGTGATATAAGAATTACCTTGCTTGTCAAGGTGTCTTTCCCCTTTAATCTGTCGCACTTTTCATAGCATCCGGTAACATCCCCGTAGCGGCGGTTCCACACCGGTCACTGATTCTTTCCTCTAATATTCGTGTAGTTCCGAGGCTGGCTAAAAAAATACAAATACAACAAAACCACTTCAACGCCTCAGTTCAACGATAGCTTCTTCCGACTGATTCTCCATTTTATCACTACTGCCCTCCTCTCGTTCGTCCCCACCACTCCCACTTTCCCTCTCTGGCCGAGCTTCGAGGTCATCCTCAAATCCATAGCCCGTCCGCGTCACCACAGAATCTTGCTGGGAGCTGTTCCCCGTCTTATCCTGCCCAAAGCGCAGTGGGGAAGTCATCACACTACCATGCCATGAATCGTCTGCGCGTGCATGACCCGCCGCAACGCGCCCCACAAGCAGCGTCGGGGCGATACCCTACCAATAAAATAAGTTATCGCCACCTTTAAATTTCGACTCAGAGAGAAAACCCACCCGCGTGATCCCAGCAATAGGATCAAGGTAATAGAACGCATTACTACCACGCGCGAACACCGCCACGTATAAAACCAGCGACACCGCATACAAAGCTGAAGACTCCACCAAGACTTCAATAACATGTCGATACGCCCCCGCGCCTTCTGCTCCTTGCGTAACGGTCAAGACTCGGTAGATCAAAAGCAAGGTGCACCACAGCGTCGTGGCGAGAGTGAGTGAGGCGTAGAGGAGTAGATAGCGAAAGTCGCTTTTTAGTTGGGAGTATTGTTGGGAGGTTACGTACATTTTTAGGGCTGTGGTGGGTATATAATAGGTGAGAGAGAGGGGATGATAGTGGAAGAAAAGTTGTTACCTGGAGCGGCGATGAGACAGAGGGTAGGGAGAAGGACGACTTGCCAGCGTCGTCCCCAGACCAACCAGCACCTCCAGATCTTGAACCACATAAGCTAAAAAAAACGCCAACCAAGAGACGTTGCCGGCGCTCACCATAGTAGCATCAACAAGCACAGTGCACACCGCGCCAATAACACCCGTCACAACAGTTATCCACCTCAGAGGATTCTCAAAATTTGCAAATTTCGTCATGAGGTTCTTCCCGTTGCTAACCAGTGCGGTGCGCACGATCAACCAATCGAGGGATAAGTTCGCACAGGTTGTTATATAGAGGACGATGATGACGATGATCATAGATGGTCCGATCGGTCGGGATTTGTGCAGATCTGCCGCTGTAAGTAAGGAGGGGGTATATGTGCGGGGAGAGGTTATCCTCACAAATATTCCACAGGGCGACGGCGATGATACCGGTGTACAAGCCTGCCGCGAGTTCGATTTAGATTTGAAGAATTGGAGGACGCGTGCGTACCTTGTAAGAGAGAGGCGAGGATCACTCTGTCCATCTCGGAGCCAAGATAAGAGAGTATCTTTGCTTTTTCGGCGTCGGTAAGACCTGGTGGTAGACTTGACTGCATAGTGAAGGAAGGAGGGATGGCTCGTGAAGATCTTTCTGTGTGATCTCAATTATATAAACCGTCTCGCGGTCCATATGTTCGGCGGTGATTACCAGTCGTCCTGCTCTTGATGAATGCAAATATATGACCAGCAGCAGAAATCCCTCGGTAGCGAGCAGGGGATCATTCAATGCAGATGGTTGTCCATCCCAATCATGATGAACACGTAGATCAGGGGACGTCAATCTACCCTTCCTAAATGATGGTGCGAATCATTTCTGGTCCAGCTAATCCGGATGTTCCTTGCTCTCATCAGCGACTCGAAAAGATACACCAGTATCCGGTTCGTTTGGAATGAGGATGAGGAGGTTGAAAGAGCCTGGGACATCGACTTAGCGTCAATCAATCCTGATTCACGTGTACATGTTGGTGGCGACATACATTTTGACTGGGCATCTCTACCTCATGGTGTTCTGCATGACAATCAGGATGAAATAAATACAGATGCATACCGCTGCACGCTCACTTCTCGACGTGCGCTTGAGCCTCAGCACTCGCACGAAACAGACTCATCGGCTTTGAGAGTTTCCTGCAAAGGTAAAGGTAAATAGTAAGTATCCTGCTTGCTTGGAAAGGGGACGTGCTTGCATGGGTGACATCGAGTATGGACACAGATGCTTACCACTCCAATGCTCACTAGCACTTCCAGACATACATCCGAGCCACACACACCACGCCCATACAAACCACGCCTTTGCAGTTCCTATGGAACACCTATTCGCTGCTTGGCCAAGCGCTGCGACGGAGGGTGGTGGTAATCGAGCTTGAAAACTTGGCACGAGTGAGAGAAGATCTGTCAATGGTGATTGTTCAAACAAGACCCAGGCCCAACCCGAGGTTCGCTGAAGTCGAATCTTTGGCAGGCCGTTGTTTGTGGGACCATAGAGATGAACGAGGTGTGATAAGGAGGTCAGTCACTGGGCCCGAGTGTTTCAGGACTCGGAGATGCAAAGCCGATGTATAGGCTGTATACGGAATACGTAAACGACGTCTGTGCACGGAAAGAAATAGTTATCATCATAATGAATCCAGCTTGTCAAACGAAGTATCGTAGCTGCCAGAGAGAGAGCGAGAAATAAGATAGTGTCAGATGAAAGGAAAGATTTGCTCGACGCACGTAGTGGGAACGTCCTCCTGCCCAAGTCCCGTTGCCTTCACCGCCTCTCTACGTATTACACACACAACCCAACTCGTACATCAACAACACTAACGGCCTAGTGAGCATCACTCGAAGAGAAGAAAAGAGAACGGGTTGCTGAGAGTCGGTTGTCTGGACGGATGATGGCGCTGTGTCATTTTGTCGGCGCCCTCTAGTCTGACGTTCAAATGTGTTAATAGTCGGGACCGACGACGATTGACTGAGCTAGTCCGTCGTGTATAGAGGGACGAACGCGTACTGCCTCGAGGGAAGAGGTAGGATCATCATCGTGCACTGCCCACAGATGGTGCACCCAAATAATCTGTCGAATTTCTGTAAGACACGCTCTCCCACTAAGCCCTCGATTTCTGTGGAATGGCCTATATGTTCGTCTTCTCCTGCTGATCCTCATTTGCACGGGCTTGTACCACCTTGGTCTGGGAAGTCACTTGTGAACCTCAATGAAACCCAAGAGTAGAGAGGCGTTCATCTTTCCCTCTCCTTCTTGCTTTCGGATCCGAGTCGTCGATGATCTAGCAACTAAAGATGAAAGAGAAGTATCGAAGAAAACAAGTTCTTGTAATAAATTTGATTGCTAGATCACATAACAGTAACGACTCGAACAGCTTTTCTCAAGCCTGTGAATTCTATCACGGACCAACCCACGATCCTTCAAGCATCATCATACTGTAGAACAACACATCAGCCACCAGCACGAACAAAAAAGTCATCATACGCACTATGATCTCTAACGAACCCGGCCAAGGACCCCACTGCCCAGTCGATGAGATATACATCTTATTATCAGTCTACCCCCAACAGAATCAGCATCAATACACAGAACGAACGATCACCCATACCTCAAACTGATTCAAAGTAAACCCAGCAAGCTGTCCACTAGACGCACGTCGGATACCAGGGAGGGTGAAAATAACCTTCATCATAGCCGGCACTGCCTCTTGCACGAACGCCACCCCAGGACACCCATGGAACCCGCATCCCTGCAACTCGTAGTTGTCCAATGGACGAGTAGGATCCACCTTCAGCGGATCTGGGAAGTCATCCACCTGGAACAATCCGAGTCAGCGAGGAAAAGGCCAGACAAAAACAAACCAACATACATTCCGATGCGCACTCTTAAAGCTCGCAAAAACGATATCACCCGGCCGCACATTAACATCCGAGAGCCCATGTCCCTGCGGAATCACATCATCCTTCACCGCATACCTGAAGAGTCCCCCAAACTGCGGGTTGAGCCGCATGGCCTCGCGGACGTAGCCCTTGAGCAACTCGGCGCTCTTCGCATCATCGCGCTTGCACACCTCGATGAGCGCGGCTCGCTCTTCTTCACGGCTGTCGTCCAAGTAAAAGTCGACGATGTGTGCGACGGCTGTGAGGAAGGAATAGATAATTCAGTCGACGACTCGAGCCAAGACGGGTTGAGCTGGCGTACCTTGGGAGTAGTTGACGGAACTGCCGACTGATAAGCCAGTGACGATAGCCGCAAGGTCGCGCGTCGGTCTCCCAGATGCTGCTAGGTTCGTAAGGAAACTAGGACAGCCCGAGTCCTGTTGCGCTTGCGGCTTGATAAGCTTGTGGGCGATCTTGACGCCAACAAGAGCGTTCTATCATTTCCATAAGGAAGGGACAGTGAGAACTTTGAGAACCCCAGAAAGAGGGTACTTACAGTTGCATTTTGAGCAGAAGCATTGGCAATGCCCTGTTCGATCAACCCCGTCATGACCTCACTAACCTTCAACGCACCAGAGCGGAGCGCCCACCAGTGCTCCGAGTCGATGTTGATGAAGACACAGGTGAAGAGAAGCGCCAACATCTGATAAAACTCCTGTTCGGTGAGTACTCCCGATGGGGTTTCCTTCGTTTTCAATTGGAAGCCAATCTATTCGTAGCAATGATGAAGCAGTTCGACAAGACCAAATATAGATGCGCACCAAGTTTTCAGAGACCCAATGTGCGCTAACGAGATTGATGACATCCCTGACAATGTCAACGCGGTTTCCTGGCAGACCAGTGTATCTGCAGAAGATGTTAGTGAGTAGAAGAATATACGAGCAGGATCAGATCGTACTTGAAGGATTTCTTCTTGAGAAGCTTAATCGTCTTGGCCCGATACCAGTCGACATATTTTGTCTTCGCTTGTTGGTCAGGGAAAAGAGCTTTGAGAGTCTGCAGTACCAATGAAAGAGCGTTATCAGAGCAGAACCATGTCTACTCACCATCATACGATCATTGTCATGTTTCTCCTTCTCATCAAACGAGAGCATGAACCTTCAAAGAAATCATTACCACAAAACGACGACATCCACCAAGAACAAGCACGTACCCATGACCCTGCGTCAGCAACTCCATATCAGCCGTATACGTCTGTTTATAGATCTCAAAATCATTGAAAACATGACGGATAGCCGAGATCGTCTTGATCACAATGGGTATCGGCTTCGGCTTTGGCCTCTCAAAGTTATAATTCGATAAATCAAACCCGAGATTCTTGAGGTTCTCTTTCACAGCCGCAGGGGTGAAGAAGGGGAAGAGACCGTAGGCACTGTTACCGGGATAGTGCCGGGGAAGATGGCGGAAGAGGAGCTTGGGTAGGGCCGCACCAAAAGCGCCATTGTCCGTGTTGCGAGCGCAATCTTGGATACCCCATGTGGTGAGGTTCGCAGCTACACGTACACGGTCAACAAAAAAAGCTATCATGTAAAGAGCAGATAGCACTCACGAGTATAATCTGTAGTATAAAACCGATCACCACGCACCAACGCTATCGCATCAGCCAGGATCGCCCTCGTCATCGTGTATCCACAACAAATCCCACTCCCGGGTCCTAAATCCATACAGTCTCATCAGCAAAACCCAGAATTAGTCTTTCCGGGCTTGGTCTTTTTCTAGCCCTCTTTCTGCCTCTTTTTCTTGGGTGATCGAGTCTTGGTCTTGGCAAACCGGTTCTTCTGCGGCTTTCTGATCTTATTGATTGGGGCGGTCTTCGAATGACCTTGCAGTTGGTATGTATATGGATTGAAGTTAAATATTGCAATATTGAAGCCCATGCACATCCGTCACGGTGATGTTGCAGCGTCGCAGCAGTGCAGCCACTTGCAGATGGCGCACGGAATGGCAGGGAATGGCGGAAGAGCAATAAGAAATCTTCTAAGTTCTTTCAAACTCCGCCCGGGCATGTCCGGAACATGTCAACGTCATGTTGGACTTGAACTCGGAGTCTGAATTGATTATTCCCTCCCTCCTCTCTCCCTCACTTTACTGCAACTCGATACCGGCGATGGGGCCATTGGGCATGTACTGGTGGTACGAGGGCAAAGGTATGGGTGTCTCTCATTGAACTGACTATATCTGATTCTCGCATTTCCTTCCGGGCTGCCGTCATTTAGGGATGTGCACCGTATCCGTAGTACGGTGGTTACGTACGGTGTATACGGATACGGGTCCGTACCGTGGACGACTTTAACGACCCAAAATACGGCCGTATTCATACGGTTTGAATACGGTCATTGAGGGAGGGACAGAGAACTATCTTATTCCATAAAGGTCAGTACCTATGACCTAAAAGAAGCATATAGTACTCACACTTTGGCACCAGATATCCATCGTCGTCGTCAAAGTGTCCGTATACGGACAACGGTACGGACACGGTACGGATATGACATCAACCGTACCGTACCGTGGCCAATAATTTTTATACGGTCTACGGTCGTATTGCTACGGTCGTATCCGTAACGGTACGGTGCACATCCCTACCGTCATTGCCAACAGGTGAGAAAAGAAACGGTACGACCCAACACCTCATCATCACTCGCTGCTGAACTGACCAGAGCTGTAGATGGATGTGTGCAGACCAAGGAGAGGGCTGTTGTGAAGACTAGGATGGTGGCCATCCAGGAAGGGATGTGCCGGAGGGTGCGTGCTTCTTCCATTCCCCCATATAATTATTCACATTGTATTTTGTGTCGGTTAGACTGCTTAGCTGTTCTCCCTTCTGCGGTGTGTTTTATTTTGACAATCTGATGCAATACTGATATATTCGTAGCACTGTCATGCCATCGAAATCACATTCTTATCCTTCCTATAGGCGCCCATTCTTGCAACATCTCTCTCGTTATGTCACGGCTTCATTTCTATCTCTGAGGCAGAAAGGGTCGTAGTGTTAGCGTTATGTGCTATAGTTCATTGTCATAGATAGAAATCAATATACTAGAATTTCTATATCCTCCAAAGCCATCGGAACACGAAAGAGAAAGAAACAAAAGACAGGAAGATGTTCTCTTCCTAAGACAGTGATAGATCTTGCCAAGACAAAATCCTTCTTGACGAGAATATGTACCTTACTTGGTAAAGACCCTTGATCTTCTTGTCTTTGCCGTCTTTTTGGTCTTGTGCAAGACTGAAAAGACACAAAAGACAACTTCTGGGTTTTGCTGATGCTTCAGCCTGCAAACCAGGATAAAGCTCGAGGTTATCAATGTGCCCATACAGGTGCTCTGCCGTGCGTGCAACATCAGGATTGCTAGACCACTCCGAGAAAGACTTGAACCGAGCCAGCCCGAGGAACTCGCGGAACTCATTCATGGTGCAGCATCCCCACTCACGCGCCTGTTCCATGCCCATGATCTCGATCGTACGAAGTGCGGCTGGGGTCCCCCGAGCGCGATATGCCCCAGCTGCTTTGTCAGTTGCGTCCTGAAGGATCCGGGCGAGGTCGTCGTCTTTAAACTTGCCGTCTGCCTGACGCTCAATGCTGTCGACAAGTAATAATTAGCAACACACGATGAAGAGAAATTGCTTTAACGTACCCTCCAAACACCCGCGTTCTCGGTTCCGGATCGATCTGTCCAAATGCACTACGTGCAGCGACCCTGAAATCCCCGAGGGTGACCTGGTCGGGTGATTTTCCTGTCACACTGAAAAGGGTGCTGAACTGGTCCTCCGTCCATTTGATATCTTCCTTCGCAATCGTCGCGTGCCACTAGAAGGTGCGTGAGCTGTAATGTATTTTTTAAAACAAGGCGATCCTACACGGTAGAGGAGGTTGAACTCCACGGAGACTTGGTTTCCCTCGCCTCGGGGAACTTTCTCCCCTTTCTTTGTCGTAATGGGCTGAAAACATGGATCAGTTCTGACAACACTACCCACTATAAAAAAAACGGACGTACGTCGAACGGATTCATGCTCCACGAGTTCCCTTCACGTGGGAGTCCGAGAAAACCTGCGACGTAGTCGCCAAAGATGGCAGAGATGAAATGCCCACAACTGATCGTGTGGTCAGCTAGGGTGAAAATCGCGAGGATTTTGAGAAAGGATGAACTGACTTGACATGTCGCGCCGTCTGGAAGATCTCCTCATCTTGCTGGGCACGCTGTTTGGGGTCCGCAGGCGGTGGGTCGCTCCATCGCCCCCGTTCGTTGATTTTCAGTAGTATTTCCGCAATATACTGCAGAGAGCCGTCAGAATGTCATCGTCCAAACGAGATAAGGAGAGAATATACGACGTACATTGTGGTTTCGGCTGAATATGACAAGCAGCGCAGACGCCGCTGATGGCGTAAAGATCAGCCGTTCCTCACTGAACGTGTCGGGGTAGAGGAGCCCACGTCCCTTCGTCTTATCTCGCACCTGGTCCTGAGTAGCCTGGTTGTACCCATACAAAGGCGAGAGATCAAGGTACGACGACGTATTGTTGCGTGTGCAATCGTGAGGATCTGTCCTGAAGAGCGAATGGGTGACGATTGACGCGAAGGCAAAGGTCAACGAGGAGTTCTTTCCAGGATGTTGCTGCCACTGTCGTATCATCCGTAATTCAGTAAACCTTGTTCCAGGTACAGAAGGGAAACTCACATCACGCGCACAGAGTAGCGTATCGAAAACCAAACCGGGATCTGGCAGTGAGGTAATCGGAAGCGAATGCCTTCCCTGGAACGCTACGAGCATACGGCGTTCCTGCCCTGTCCAAGTTCGGGGAAATGAATATTGTTCCCAGATCCGTCTGCGCTCCTCCATTGGCTACTTAGGGCCGAGGTACGTCGCTGGCGGGTGAGGTACCGTATCATACAACAAAGCTATAGCCTCATCGTTGAGCTGGTCTTGTAACGCTCCTGGGGGAAGCCTCGTGATAGCCGCCAAAGCGGTAGTGAAGATTCCTTTCCGGTCGTCTATCGCGTCGGGATTATTCACAACATCCAGAATACCTTGCTATAGTATCCATGAGAAGTCTGCTTGTGAGAGAATATCGATTATGAACTTACCGCCGCCTTCACGGTGTCTGGGATTACTGGTCCGCGCTTCACGCCCTGCTGGACGGAATTGACAACGTTGTAGAGAACCGAGTGATGGTCGTCCTTTCCATTCTTCTCGTTCTGCGCGGCAGCCTGCGAGTCGTACAAGCCATCAGGCGCTGTCGGAGCGGGTCTGTCCTTGAAATACTGGTATTCTACAGCAGACTGTATGTCAAAAAGTCAGTGACATGTCCACCACCGTTAGTACCACAGACAACGCACGACGAGGAAAGTTTTGGTCAGGTCAGGCCTCAAATTTAGCGGCATTGTGAAAGTTGGTGAGAGGGAATATGGGTCGAGACATCCTGTTAGAGTTTATAGGAAATCGCAGAATGCGCCTCGTGTTGTGTCCAATATTATTCCCTCGGTCAGCAGGTCCCGGTTCGATGGATCTACGATCACCAAAAGCGAAATCCGAGACGTTGACGTTTACATGTGCGCATACAGATTGGCAGCAAGAAACTTCTTTTGCGGGCGGAGAGCCTGAGAGCGAACAAATTTACAAACCTGGTGCAGAAGAAGATTTTGGGAAGTTCGGAGACCTCGGAGTAGTGAGTTAATCGGAGTTGAACATTCCTTCTCTCATTCACAATTAAGCTACGAAGTTGGGGTGTTGTGTCAAAGCTTGGCGGCTGGTGACCTCCCTTCTCGTCGCTGTTTGAAAATTAGCCTGGAATTAGCCTGGAAAGCCGCTTTATTAAATACACACCGAAAATCCAGAAAGTTAGGGATACCCTAGCTATAGCACCCAGCCTATACCTAAGTTTTCGGATCGTGATTCTTGAATGAGACTTGCTGTAACTTCCGTCCGATACCAAATCAAAGAAACCATGCGACACAAATTTGACATGAGGAACGAACGGATCAAATTCTGTGACTGGCCAAGTAAAGCGTAGGGGAACAGAGATCATTGTTTTGCTCAGATGTTTGGCTTAACGGAGGGATGCCAAACAACGCGATCGTCTTCCGTATTTTCAACTCCATCTCTCTCACCTAAGTCACTCCGTCGCTTCTTCGCTCTCGTTTGACCTACCTACCTACTCCTTTCTTTGTTTGGGTAGCGTCTGGTCTGACGTAGCAGCTAGGTTTTTTCAGCTGCTCCGGTTTCCCGAAGTTTGAACAACTGATTTCTCGGCTTCCACTTGGCACTGTTATGAGTTTGAGCTTCCGGCGTCTCTTCATCCCGGGCCTCTTTTATTGCCGCTCTCCCCTCTTCCCAACTCACAGTCCTCTCGAAACCGAGTTCTCTCCCCTCAAACCCAAGGGATCAAGGATTGCTTGCCTCGTATCTCAAACTTCATCCTGAATTCATTTGAATACTTGTTTACATTTTTATTCCGATCTCTCGTCTCAATTCCGCAGCTTCACTTGGGGAATGGATCACAGGTTCTAGGCGCCGATCAGCCGAGTCAGATTCGCATGGGCCAATCAAGCACCTAATTAGTGGAATCAAGCTCAATAATCACGTACTTGTTGAAGACTTCAATTTCGAAATCTCAGAGCGCCTGTTTGGACTTCGGCTTGCGAAGCGACTGTCAATCTGTAGCGCGAACAACGGCAGTTATGAATCGTATTCATTCTATCCACTCGGCAATAGAACTTTAACGTCGGAGCTAGATCTAGAGACTGCATGCAGGGTTGGTACGCTGGTCGAACTTTTCCGTCGGTGACCTAATTGAATTTTATTCAGAAGGATCTGGAGAAGTTTACGCGAGCGCTCTTCCATCCTTATTATGTACACCCTTCTTCGTGAATTCCAACAGCTTCTTGTGACGCAAGAGTACGAAACAATGAAGGTCACCAGCTGCTCGTACTTGGCTTCTCTTTCGACAGACGTCTCTATGATTAAGCGACCTGATGGCTTGGTACCTGATCTTAGTCTTGGAATATTTTGCCTGTCATTCGATGGACCTTCTGTTGGCTGTTGGACGCTCGGAATGATTACGTGCTAAATTGAATGGACTTGATAGGCTGTTGATCTCGCCCGAGGAATTTGCGCGTTAAATCGAGGAATCTAACCCTTCCCAAGACATAAAAGCCGGCTGACCTCGTCTCAGCTGTAGGATCCCCATTTTTCTTCCCTCCATGTCTGCCTCTGACGCTGGTCACTCTCGGTCGAATACTGTCGTTGCCGACGACTACCCTGACTTCCCAAAGGTTATCTCTCCGGGTTCAGGTAGTGATCCGTTCCAAGGACCCGCGCTTGAGGAGAACGATCCCTCCGAACAACACAGATAGGGCTCGGACGCTGGTCTTATGTTTTGACGGAACCGGTAAGGCTTGTCGCCGTCGGAGCTGTGAAATAACGCGACTGACTTTTTCATGAATATTAGGGGATCAATTCGACAGTGATGTACGTCCACCCGACCCTTGCGCAGCTCAGGAGCTCACGCGTCGATGTAGAACTCCAACGTCGTCAACTTCTTCTCGCTGCTCAAGAAGGATGACCCCAGAGCACAGCTCGTGTATTACCAGGTAATTGTTTTATTTTCTGCCTCTCTGTCTATTGACTGACAGGTCCTTGAAGGCCGGTATCGGGACCGTATTGCATTCCCGACGTGGCTTCGCCTCTAGCAGCAAAGATCAGCAGAATGATCGACAGCATGATCGGTATTCACCTCGACGCGCATGTTATGGGTAAGTTGAGTGACTTCTTCCAGTAAACCTGTATTCGCTGACCCACCCTTTCTAGGTGGATACGAATTCCTTATGCAAAATTGTATGCGTAATTTTCTACGGTTCCGTTTACCCTGTTAATCACACGGCGTCTCCATAGACGAAGCTGGGGATAAGATCTGTATTTTCGGGTACGTTTTCTATTGCCATTCAATGCGCGCCGTCACATACTTATCAATTGAAATGAACTTAGATTCTCCCGTGGTGCCTATGTCAGTACCTATTTGATGCGCGCTTCCATCCGTTTCTGACTCATATGTCTAGACGGCCCGAGCGCTTCGCAGGGATGTAAGTCGGCGTTATTACCTCTTAGATCCATTCTAATCTCGAAATCCACAGGATTCATAAGGTATGATAATTCATTCCGGAACCGAACATCTACCATATCCCAACTCAATTAACTCGAATAGATCGGCCTTCTCCCTCGATGCAATCACCAAGCAAGTCCCCTTCGCCTACCGCATGTACTCGCGCGAAGACGAACTCGGCTGGGCCCAAAGCGCAGCTTTCAAAAAAGCTTTCTCCATCGATGTCGATATCGACTTTCCTAGGCGTATGGTACGAAACCTTCTTCTCCCTCTTACCTTCCACCCAAAGCTAATCTCATACCCCGACAGGGACACCGTCGATTCAGTAGGGATCATCCCCCGTCGACTCCCCTTCACGGTTTCGAATACGCACGTGACGGCACTTCCGCCATGCGCTTAGCCTTGGATGAGCGTCGCGTCCGGTTCAGGCCCTCCTTATGGCACCGTGCTCGTCACGATGTGGAACCGATGGGTGTGAAGCCTGGTGAGATGCCCAAGCCGAAGCGTCACAACTCTTCGAAACCACACCCACACCGCGAGAAGACTCTCCCCCAGCGTGAGCGAGAGTACGACTCTACATACTCAAGTTGCCATGTGGATACACCGACGGATGTGGAGGAAGTCTGGTTCGCGGGATGTCATTGCGGTTCGTACTCCACTTTTAATTTTCAAAAGCGCAATAATAATCCAAGCCATTTCAGACGTCGGCGGAGGATCTGTAGCCAACGATGTCACTAACAACTTGGCACGTATCCCTTTCCGCTGGATGATTCGGCAATGCTTCCTCGTCAACACGGGCATCATGTTCCACCGCGAACTGCTCAGACAGTTTGGACTAGAACCCTCGATGCTCTACCCAGTCGTGAAGCCTCGTCCTCCACCGATTACGGACCTCCCGCACCCGTCAGAGTCGTCGTCTAGCAGCGGCACTGTCTGCGAAGAAACCGAAGATCTTCGCGATGCCATCTGCCCCGATGTTCGACCAGCTCGCCCTCGCACCCATGTGGTGGATTCTGGAACTGCTGCCCGCCAAGGTTAGGTACCAGAAGAAGGATGACACCTGGGGCAAGACTATCACGTATGTTTTGCGTGTCGCCTGATGGAATGTGTAGTTCTAACTGTCGCCGATGTAGCATGAACAAGGGCCAGCCGAGGCATATCCCGCGTCAACGCAAGCAGGGAATCAAGGTCCATCGTACGGTCAAGTTGAGGATGGAGTCCAAGCATGTTGAAGGGGGATACGAGCCGAAGGCTGGTTGGATCGTGGAGCCGACTTGGGTTGATTGAAAACCTTGGACTTACCTTACTTGATATGTGAGCTATGGTTATGAGTTTCTTATTATACTACTATGATAATGTAATAGCGCCGGCAAGCGGCAGAGCCCGCTACCTTGATCTCCCTTATCACGAAAGATTTACGAAAGATGATACTTGTACAAGTGGTCTCATGTTGGACCAGAGAATAGGTACATATACAGAAACAAAACTCGCTCGGTGTCGGCCTTCGGCCGCCGCCAGCTCTCATTTTGCTCACACCGGCTCGCTCTTCAAAAGCCTCCAGTAAAAAGTGTGGTGAACAACCGCTAATGCATGATAGCTGCCCATAAATGTGCTTCCCCACGGCTTTGCGTTGATACATGTCGAAGTTGATGGCCATCGACAAGGTGTAATGATGGACGTGATGCAGATATTTGGCCTTTTCATCACGATGTTATTTAGCACTACGGGACGGTTGCATATCATTTTCAGCATGCAGCTCCATCAGATTGTGCCCATGACCAGACCTCAAGGATACTTCTGCATCCAAATCTGAGACAGCAATAAGAGAAATTCGACTTTCCCAATATCCTTCTCGTGTAACCAGACGTATCTGGAATTTGCCGAACTGGCAATAACAAGACAAAGACTATGAAGATGAGAAAGCGAACAGGAAGACGTTACAACTTTGCTGTTCAGTGTACAAGTAGACAGGAGCATAGGACAAGGAGGAAAATCAAGCGAGCTTGCGGAAGCATTCCAAACTAGTGGAGGTATAAGAACATCTGGAAATTGCCATGACCGTCTAAAGGCGGAAACTTCAGGAATGCTTATTGCTGAAACATGAGTAGAGAAAACCAAGGGTACAGTGGGTTTTGCCAGGTACCGGACCCTTACCCGGTGGGTATGGGTATGGGTTGCCTTTGCTGGATGGTGGCTGTACCTGTGCCATGATCCTGGGCTTTTTGGGGGGTATTTTCATCATAGATCACCTGTAAATGATTGATTAGATTGAAATAAACAATTTCGGATGCCATCAAAAAATGTGTGACTGTGCCATGACTCCGACCCATGCTGAAACCTGTGCAGGTCCCAGGTATGGGTCAGCCGGGTATGGGTACAGGTCGGCTTCACAGCACCTGTGGGTTACTCATGGTGAACCCTAAACATGAGCAGATAAAGAATACAAAGTACCTCAAAATGAACAAAAAACTCTATGCCATTGAATATCAAAGATGGGAGTGATGCAACTGAATTAGACTTAGTTGAATCTACCATTAAAAATGCTGTCATTTTGCAATGGTAAGAACCCACTACTAAGGTAGCAGGAATACTGCAACAATTTACAAATCACTCAAGTTTCATACATGTTCAGTCAGACCCTCAAAATACAAATGAATAACAATTAAGTATCTCTTCAACAAGTTGATGCACATACCACATGGTATATTGGCTTGTCATGTGCTTTTCAAAGTAAGGCATAGTTTAGGTAATCTAGGATGCACCAGTTAGCATCCCTGCAACTATATTGGTTGTCATGGTCACCTCTATAGTACTAGAATATGGTCATCATTTAATTTGGCATACTTATACAAGATGTGGCTGATATTACAAATATATAAGTAGATAGGGAACTGGAATAAGATACACATGGATCTCACCTCAGTCTCATACACTACAAGGTGTAGATGGACTAAGGGTGTAAGATACATGATTGAGAGAGTAGTGGTCAATGATGACAAAAGAAGGATTCTCAACATCTTTTGAAATCTGAATATCATCAAATCCCAATACTCAACAAGGGCTCTTTGTTATGAGACATCTCACATCTCTATATCTAGATTATGTGCCTCTTCTTTTGGCTACAATCAACACTGTTGGATCTCAAATGATCTAATAATAGGACTGGAGTCATTAGGATATTAAAGTGATCTCCACTCACTGCCAGATCTGTTTCAACAATATAAGGATGTTTCAGCAGTACACTGACATCCTATATTATAAGGAGTATCATAGGTAGTATGCTCACAAGTACATCCCCCATTCAGAATTACCTTTCCTTTGCAAGTCTCCAATGGCTACTCAAACCAACTCTGGCATTTCAGCATCACTTACTGACAGTGATGTAGCTTCCTTGATAAAATACTTTGATGCTGTATTGAATTCAGACATACTCTTTGCTCTACTGTTTGGTAAGTGTGTTTATTGAAGTGGGGAATCCAGGGATCTCAGTGTCTAATCCTGAACATATAGGTATATACACAGGTATTCTTGCTATCACAATGTGGAATATCTGTGAGTGTGTGTCATGTCTATTGTATTATTGGGATTGAAATGAATGACCCAGCTATTTACAAGTCTCAGAACACTGGACAGACTACAGTTGTGGTCTTTATCATCCTTTACATTGTGACTTTCATTAGTTCTGTCATAAAATAGATAAAACATCTGAACTAAATATCTGGAGAATACCAACAATAATTTACTAGGAGTAATATAGACAGGGATTGCAGATATTATTGGTACTATTCTTGTTGACTCTACTATGGCATGTGTGATTTGAATAATGAAAATCTTGGTTATAGCTTGTTATTCAAATTCCAGATTTAGTGTTGCTGGATAATCTGAGGACAGCACTGGCTAATCATTGTACTTCCCACTCTTTGTCTAGTCTCTGGTGGTGTAACAAGCATGCCAATAGAATCCTGACTTCCAACTCAACTTCAACAAAATCACATTTCAGAATCCTACAGATTCCAATTCCTAGTTTCTATTTTCATATTCCATTTCATATTTTATCTCTCCATTATAATTTATCAATAGCCTGACATCGGTAGCAAATATGTCATCAGACTCCATCAGCTACCAGCCAGTAGACTACAACCTCTGACCACTCTAGAATATAGACCATTCTGAGTAGGAACTAGATTGGACTCCTAACTAGTATATAAACCTTAGAATTACACTGTAGATACTCAGTTCAAATATCAACTTGGTTCAGCCCAAACACTCTCTGACTTTCAGTCAAAATTCTCATTCTTCAGTCTATGAAACTCTGATCCATTGGACTTATCTCTTATCTCTTACCTCATCTGTGTCACTCCATGGACTTCCATCCATATTCATCTTAGGGCCTCAGCTCAGGGGTGACATTGCTAATAGCTTTGCCTATGCCTGATGCATCCCATGGCTTTTCACTATGTGCAATCTCTGCCACATTCCTATTGACATGATCCTAACAGTATATTCGAACTCAAATCCTTGAGTTGAAATTTTCTTCTAAAATCATATCTTCTACTTTCACCCTTCCTCCAGAAACTAACTGCAACTCCATGGCCAATAACTGAACCTACACCATGGAAGTCTGAAGATATTCCTGCCTCTGCCTCAAAAGAGGGTCATCTTTCTTTTGGATCAGATTCCGCCCCTTTCCAACACTCCTGTAGGGAAACCTACCTGCACAGTGGTTTCATGGCCTGCCAATCTGACACTAACAGATTGCTTAACCCCTTCTTAGCCAGCAATCAGAGTTTAATAGCTGGGGTGAGTACCAGAATGATCCTCTATGGAATCCACCTACATCCTTGTTTGATAACATCCCAGGTTGAAATGAGAAAGATGACCAAGGCTTGGAAGATGGGGACTTCATTCCCCAATGAATGGCCAAGGATGCTCATTAGGAAATCCTGGTGATGGCCCACCCAATCCTGGTAACAATTCTAACCCCCCTAATAACGATACTCAAATTCTTATTCAACTCATAAATGTTCTCTGCAGTGTCTCTGATGCCATTAATGGCAACCATCAGCAGGCTGTATGCACCAAGGTTAAAGAACCAGATACCTTTGATGGCTCAGACTTTCAAAAACTCAAAGCCTTCATTGTCTCCCTCCAATTGAACTTCAATGAATGTCCTAATATATTTCTATGGAATACAAGACTGGTATGCTCAATTTCAAATGAGATCAGTGCCTTAATACCCTGGATACCTCTATATTACTTCATATAGAGATATATTTTTTATATATAATCAATATTACTATTTTAAGATACCTCTTTGTATATTTAAATATAGTTGTTATATATAATAAGACACTGCTCTGGAGAGGGCAGATGGTGTAGTGGTTACCTCTGCCTGCTTGATTATACCTCATTCTGCACAAAAAATATTTATTTTTGCACTCATAAGTTTGAGCCCCTCACCCTCCAGAAAGTAACACTCTAGACACTTTCTGGGTTTTATCACTTCTGATATCTGAATCATGTGAAATACAGCCTTCCTTTCTAAATATGATCAAGTCACACATATTACCCCCTCTAAAATCATATGATAAATCTTATTTCTCCTTGCTATTCTGGGCATCAGTTTGAGGCCCTTCCAGTGATCTTTCGAATAAGACAGAAAAACAAAGTCGCATGCTACAAGGCTGCCACCTGGTTGAGATCCAGGTGTAACAAAATAGAGTGGTGATCCAAGCACACTCCGGCCCAGCATATTGCCCCTGCATCAATTGATCACACTATGTTGGTGATCTTGGCCAAGTAAGGCAGGTTTGAGAAAGAGAGATCAGAAAAGGACTGGGATTAATGGAGTTTGGTGGAAAGTAGGATTAGGCTATGAGAAGGGTTTGGTGAAGAAACAATGGTGATGGATAGATTGTGGTCATTTCTTAGCAGAGGTCAGGATTTCCCAAAGTGAAAAAAGATGACAGTGCCTGAGTTACACCAAGTTATCGAGAGCAAGGAATAATTTCATGCTATAACATAAGTGCATAGCTTGTTAAGCTGACTTAATCAATGACATCATACACACAGTAACACAAGTAGCTAAATTGGACCATACACTTGTGTAACCAATATACTTAGGATTTGTTTATAAAAAAAAAGACACTGCTCTGCTAGAATACTGAATAATGTTAGGAATATACCAAAATCTGAATATATGAATATAAGATGAAGAGTATTGATTAAAATACAGTAAGATTGAAAAGAAAGCATGTATGTTATTATAAAACACTACTGTTTCAACCAGATATTCACATAACATACAATAAGGTCTTTTTGAACTTTTTTGTCTCTAGAATTTATTAATATATATACTATACTGTATTCATATTTTATCTCATATATAGGATTATAAAAGATGGTCATATTCTACATCAACTTTGTTTTATAGTGAAAATAACACATTGCATTGATTTACTTTATTACATATCAAAATAAATAGATATCTATGTAGATTTAACCTACTTGTATAGAACTCATATAAATATGACCACAAAATTTATATTCCAAGCCT